AGACCCAGCCTAGGGCTGCTATCTTAGAGGTCCGGAAGTAAGGTTTGGGAAGGGCAGGTTAGTCAGGAACCTGAGGGAGGAACGTAGCCATCTGCTTGGGTGGGACTGCCTTCACTTAGGTGAGCCAACGCTTTCTTAGGAGTCCAAGGTCACTGGGTGGAGCTCCCAGGATGGAGGCGTGGCCTACTCTGAGTGATGTTGCTAAGGATGGGGGTAGGGGTGAGGCTGGATTTGTGAGGTTGGATGTCAGTCTCCAACCACATGTCCGGATGTGCCCGTTGTTACCCTCTGTAGAGGGAGCTTCCTCTCCTTGGCCCTCCCTCTGCATCCCCTGGGCCTGCCTCTCCCCCTGTTTCCTCTGTCCTCCCTTCCACCTTGGCCTCCTAGCTCCCCGAAGAGCTGAGCAACTGCTGAGCTCAGCTCTTCCCCACAGCCCTGGGCTCTGGCTGGCTGCCTTTGTCTCCTGTCAGCGGGCACCAAGCTGGTGGGGGTGGCTGAGGAGAAAGGGGCTCCTCAGCCGCCCGCCTGCCGTTCTCCAAGGTGGGGGATGGCTGCCCACATCACCCCAGCCCTTGCCCAATTATGAGCAGAGGAAGCGCGGCAACCTCGGGCTGGTGCCAGATCCTGCCTCTAAAAAGCAGTGAGCCCTTTCAGCCCGCTGCTCAACCTGCAGGTTGCCAAGTGGCAAATAGGCAGGCTCTGTTCTGGGAGATTTGGGGGGGGGGGAGTGCTTTCTGAGCCTGGGCTGTGATGGCCACTGGCCTTCCCTTTCTGTAGGATCAAGAAGGGATGCAGGAAGGCTGGAAGTGGATGAGCCTACTTTAGATTCAGAAAGGATCTATGGAGCCTTGTGACAGCTGGCCTGTGAGCCTTAGTTTACCAGTTTGGTTGTTTTAAATATTGCATTAAGTTTTGTTTTATTTTTGCCTGTTCTGGGGCTTGAATTCGGGGCTTGGGCTCTATCCCTGAGCCTCTCTGATCTCAAGACTAGCTAGCACTCTATGAATTGAGCACTTCGAGCTTTTTCTGAGTAGTTTATTGGAGATGAGTCTCACAGACTATTCCTGCCCGGGCTGGCTTTGAATCATGATCCTCAGATATCAGCCTCCCGAGTAGTTAAGATTACAGGCCTGAGCCACTGGCACCTGACTGCATTAAATTTGTTTTTGTTTTTTAGACAGTCCTGGGGCTTGAACTCAGGGCCCGGGTACTGTCCCTGAGCTGCTTTTGCTCAAGGCTAGCACTCTACCACTTGAGCCACAGCACTACTTCCAGCCTTTTCTGCTTATGTGGTACTGAGGAATTGAACCTGGGGCTTCATGCATATTAGGCAAGCACTCTACCACTGAGCCACCTTCCCAGCCCGGCTGCATTAAGTTTTAATTGATCTTGATCACTGATTTTTTTTTCTCCCCTTCTTACATTCTGTGCTTGACAATGGTTCGCCTACTGCACCCTTATCTGGCTCCTAGGGTCTAAGGGGTAATAGGAAGACCCCAGAGGCTGACCCTTGACCCGTTTCTCAAGCTTCAGGGAGGAATGAGCTATGAATGGTTCCCATCCTAGCCACCCTACTGTGAGGAAAAACTTCTTCCTCTGGTGGGACCAGCTAGGCCTGTGCTGAGAAAGTTCTTAGAAAATTACATTTGAGGAGAGATCTAGATAACCCAGCTGGAGACCACAGCTCAGGCTGTGAGAGGGCCGAGGCTAGACATGGAGCCTGTGCGGGTCTTCAAGTGCTCCTTCTGTCCCCCGTGGACCATGGATTTGCACTTCTCCACAAGGCAGGTTATGGCAGGGAGAGAGCCCAGGAGGACTGGTCAGTGTCTTCTGCCACTAGGTTGTATATCCTGGGAGGCAGGGCAGCCCAGTGTCCAGGTTGGCACTGTGTGAATGGACACGTGGTGCTCCTTCCAGAGGCCCCAGCTCTGCCCGTGGTGCTGGGGGTGGAGCGGGGGCAGGGTTTCCTTCCCCATTTAGGGACTGACAGCTCTCTGGGCAGGAGGCAGCCAGAGAAGTAGACGAGCACTCAGGGCTGGCTCCCCACTCCGCTGTCTTTACTGTGTGAATGATGTAACCTGCCTCAAGCCTCCACTTTCCTTTTTGAGAAATAGGGGTTGAAATCCCTAGCTCAGGGCGTCGGGTGAGGATGGTCATCTGTGTGGGTGGCCCGGCCCCGTACCAGCGCAGGGAAGGCATCCGTGAACTCTGCCTCTTTGCTTTGCATCCACAGTCACTCAGCCTTCCTGGGACTGGCGCCTTCTCTCTCCGACGTCAGTGGCTTTGGGAATTATAACTTGTCCAGGGCCCATGTCCTCTTGCCTCCCAGCTGGTACTTTCTTTTCTTCTGCTCACCCACCCACACCCCAGGAAAGCATCCTGGTGCTTTGGATGCACCAACATGAGGCTGTGACCCTAGACAACCCCACATGTCAACCAAGGGTCTCTGGGTAAATGCCCCTCAGAGCCCACAGCCCACAGGAACCCACTTTTCTACCCTTCCAGATTGCCCCTCTGCCCGCTCTCGCTTGGCGGCAGGCCCCTCAGGTGGTCTGGGCTCAAAGGAGCCCCCGCCCCTTCTCCCCCTGCCACCCACCCTGCTCATTGAAGGGCTCTGGTAGCAGGGCTGACTCCCCCCTCCCGCACTCTCCCCAGGGATGCTGATTTGATTTCTCCCAATCGCCAGTGTTGCCATCTGCCTGCAGTAATTAAATGGTATTTGAACTGGATCCAGAAATCCCATCACAGACAGCCACATGCTGGGGAGGGTGTCCTCAGAAGCTATGCGTGCCTGTGTAGATCAAGGGTCCCCGGAGGCTGCCTGGGCAAGACCCTCTTTTACCTGTTTATATCTGATTGCCCTGGGAGGAAGTGACTTGCTCTTCGGCCCCACAGGCTCAGGCCAGAGCTCCAGATTCCTGTCCCATATACAGTGCCAACCCCACTCTCTGTAGCCACTACCTGTGCTGCCCCCCCCCCCCAGCTTTCCCAGACCAGGCCCTCTGAGTCCTGATCCTTGGAGGTAGTTGTCTGAAGAACTGTCTACCCGGCAGTGTCTGCCTGAGCTCGCACTGGCTCCTCACAGTCTGTGCTTCTGGGTGACCCCACCGCAGTTTCCTCATCTGTCAATGAAGTACTCAGAGTAACCTCATGGGGTTGTTGTGAGGTCAGGAGTTACAGAGTCAGCATGTAGGCCCTCTCCCTTCTGTCCAGTGAGAACCTAGAGTGCGTCAGCTGCCATGATCAAGGCTGAGGCTGAAGTCTAGGCAAGAGGCTACTGGCACTGAGGTTTGATGTGGAGGTTGGGGTGTCAAGTTCTTGGTCTGGATATGCAGAGGGGGCAACTGAGAATCAGCTCTAGTGATTGGGGAGAGTGATGGAGGGGTGAATCTGATCAACATACATTGTATACCATATAGGGACATGTCAGATTAAAACCCCTTCATACAACTAATTGATGCTAATAAAAATCTTGGAGGGATGATGCCGTTCCCAGTCACAAACCAGTTCTGGGGGAGCCTAGGAAGCTGGCTTCTCATGTCAGCATGGCCCAGAACACCTAACAAAAGCTTCTAACTAGCCTCCTTGGGTTTCTTTGCTTTCGGAGAGAGCCATTTACCCATGAGGACCTGTTCATGCCTCTGAGGAAATATTTCTATAGAAAGCCAGACAGATCCATGTGTGTGGAACTGGACTAGTTTACTCCCCTCTAGGGATTTCCACCTCTCCAAGGCAAATGCAGGCTAACTGGCTCAGGTGAACACCTACCTAACCAGCCTGCAGCTCTAAGTGAGCCTGGGCCTGGGGCAACTCAGGACAGGGACCCGATGGTGACTTGGAGGCCCTGGGCTCAGTGGCCAGGCGCCTCTGGGCCCTGGGTGGTTGCTGGCTGAGCCTCTCTTCTTCCTTTCTTCCTCGGTAAATGTTGGCTTAGTGAGAGGAGTCTGACAAGCGGCTCATTGTGAGTACCGGGCTGACAGGGCTGGCTTGTGTGAGCCCATGGGCATTAGAGCCCCACCCCCACCTCTCGCTTTAAAAGTGCTTGGGGGTGCTTTCTGCGAATCTCTGCACACGCATGCTCACTGGCTCCTGTTTGGTTGCCATGGGGACCTTGTCATGGTGATGCTGCTTCGAAGAGGGAGGAAGGGGTGGCTGGATGGAGATAATCCTGCCCATAGTGGGCTCTTGCACTCCAGCTTGATACCACTTTCTCTTCTCGGTATGGGAGAGCCTGCCAGGGTCTGGGATGTGGGCCCACCCTGTGGGCCAAATGGGCGTGGTGTTCATTCTAGATGTGTCCACTAGACCTGGGCCACCAAGGCTGTCTTGATCTGCCCCCTGGACTCCTGGGAGGAACCAAACCTTGTGTGTGAGACTGACGCCGGTCTCTGGCATGAGGGAGGGAGGTGGATGTGATGGAGGAACCTTGCGTCCACACGAGCCTTGGTAAAGGTTCTGACCTCTAAAACTTGGCTCTGTCTCAGGGGAATGTGATCGAGAACCATAGAGAGCTGCCAAGCCTGTCCCTTTCTTCCCCAATTCCAGCCCTGAACTTTGTCTCCCTAGAGCAAGGGAGCTTTCTTCTTTCTCTACTCAGAGTGACACTAATTCCCAGAATCCTGGTCCAGCCAGGAGTGTACACTTTCATGTCTCACAGACTTGGTTTGGCTCTGTCACTTTCCATTGTACAAGCGTGGGCAAAACATTTAAATGTTCTTAGCCTGTTTTAAAATTAAGCTAGTAAGAGCCACCTCTTAGATTTATATATAGTGAAGAATACATGAACTGCTTTGTAAAGAATAACACAAATGCACTATACACTGAGTGCTCAGTAAATGTTAGCAGCTGCTGATTTGGGTGTTGGTGTTGTGACTGTTGTGTTTCTAAAACTGCCCTCGGGGGGGTGGCAGGAATGGAAGCGCAGCGGGTAATGTGTGCAAGAGTCTGAACCCCAATCCCTCCGGCTGGGGCTGATCCGGGTCTCTTCCCATCCTGGGCAGGATTCGGCCCCAGCTGTCAAAAGAGAAGATTGAAGGCTGTCATATTTGTACCTCTGTCACCCCGGGGGAGCCCCAGGTCCTACTGGGGAAGGACAAAGCCTTCACCTATGATTTTGTCTTCGACCTGGACACCTGGCAGGAACAGATCTATTCGACCTGTGTGAGCAAGCTCATCGAGGGCTGCTTCGAGGGCTACAATGCTACAGTACTGGCCTATGGGCAGGTGAGCCCACCCTACCCCACCAATGCCCTCCATGTTGGTTTGGTTCCCCTTCTCCTTTCTGATGGGGGAGACAGACAAAGCAGTAGACATAGCTACACCATTTGGTCTGTTATCTGGGGATGGGGCTGGCTGGTAGAGTGAGCGCTGTCATTACAACCTTCCTTGGGGGTGGCTTTGGGACTAGCTGGGCAGGGAAGACGGCTAGAGGAAGATGGGTAAGGGGACTCAGTTCAAGGCTTGCTGGGTAGCACCATCATCCCTGTTGCATCTTGGCCAATGCAGACAGGGGCCGGGAAGACGTACACCATGGGCACTGGCTTCGACACGGCAATGGCGGAGGAGGAGCAGGGCATCATCCCCAGAGCCATCGCACATCTCTTCCGAGGCATCAAGGAGCGCAAGCAGCGAGCACAGGAGCAGGGCGTGACTGGGCCTGAGTTCAAAGTCAGCGCTCAGTTCCTGGAGGTACCGTGGCCTCACTGAGGGTGCAGGGGGGAAATGGTTTGGAGAAATAAGACCACGAAAGCTGGGCTCTCTTCCTGTACAGCAGAATGAGCCCAGGTTGTCACGAGGGTATCTGCAGCTAATAAGCTCCCTGTTTGCAGAAGTATCCAAGCAAGGGCCGGAGGACCACGTGTTAGGTTCCCTCAAGTAGTGTACCTGACATCAGATGAGGCTGGAGTCATGACCTATGACCATCTTGGGTCCTGACTGGCTGATTCTAGCTCCGACTCTTTTAGTTATGTGACCTTAAGCTTGTCCTTTTACCTCTCTGAGTCTTGCCTGCAAAATGGGGCTGACACCGAGTGGCACTCTGGCTCTCTCTCTTCTTTCTGACTCTCACTGGGCTGCTCTAATCCTCCAAGCCCCCTGACTATCCTTTATGGGTTTCGGTGATTCGAAACCTAGCCCTCTGAGTCTTCTTGAATCCTAGGGTGCCAGCCTAGAGTTGTATCAGCCTGGGACTTAAGGGCGGGAGGAGGGGGATCTCTGAACTCTTCGATATCTGGGCTTTTCTGAGTTCTGAGTTCAGGAAGCACAAGGTAGGAACTCTCCCTGTGAAGGGTCTCTGGGAAGCTGCTAGGAGAGCAAGCTGGCCTCAGTAAGAGCCTGACCTTGCTTCTTCCCTGGAACATTTGGTTAGGCAGCTCCGATTTTCAATTTCTAATGCCCCTAACCCCAGGAGCCCATCCCTGAGCTCTTACCACAAAAGCCTGGTGTTCTGACTGCACCCTAGTTGGCCCTCAGAGGAAGGGATGTGGCCACAGCCCTGTCCACATCTTCTCGTGCCTGCTCCCTCCCCCTGCCCCATACCCATTGTCCCAGCTATTCCCACATGGGCACATCAGCATGCAGCAGTCTCAGTAAGGGACCTATATTTTGGGTCCTTCTGGACTTTGGCTTCCAATCAACTGTATGTGTATGCAGGTGTGTGTATGTGTGTGTGCACGTGCGTGTGTGTGCATCTGTGTGTCTGTGTATACATGTATGTCCTACTGTTTATCACTATGAGCTTTTTCTCTTATATCTCTTTGTTTTCCTACCTTCTTGGCCTGTTGCTACCATGGCCTCAAGAACAACCTAGCTAGAAAATCCAGGCCACAGGGTGAGTGAGCCATAAGGGGTTAAAGTCCAGGGACGGAGACTGAAAAGGTTCCCTATCTCTGTACAGCCACATAAGGGCCATAAAACCATTGGGTAGGGCTAACATCATGATAGGACCGACACATGCGCTCGACGTGTGGCTTACGTCAGCTGCCTGCAGCCCATCTGCCTCTGTTGATCATTTTGTATGACCTGAGAATGATATAAGTATCCAAATGGTCCTTGGCAGAGAAAGATTCCCCACCCCTCCAATGATGCAGTACGTCTGTCCCAACACACCAGACAGACAGACACTGGCATTCTGTCTCTCCCATCTCTTCCTTCTGTTTCCTCTTCCCTTTCCTGTGGTTTATTTCTGTCCCTTTAAGGCTATGAAAGCCTGGAATGTTGAGGGCTGGTCCTCCCCCCACCTCACCCCCCAGGACTCTCTTGGCTCCCTGCCTCATCCCTTTCCTCAGACTGCAGCCCCAGCACCTTGCCTGCAGGACGGTCCTTTCAGCCCTGCCTGTGATTCCAGCCGCAGGCATCTCCTTGGCTGAGATCTGTCAGAGATGCAACTTCTCCTGGCCAGTCACCTGCCACCATGTCTCCCTAGGAGGCTGGGCCATGGTGTCCGTTTTCCATGTTCCTCATCTCTCCTGAGCACAGGGCCACCTCCCCTCACCCCCACCCCCAGAGATTGCCATCACCTCCATCCCAAGGGATGGAGCCTGGCTGCCCTCTCTGCTGAGCTCTCCTTCTGCCCTTTTGTGTGTGGAGTCACCTCCCCATCCCCTCTTTTCCAGTCTAGTAATCCGTGACCTCTGCTGAATCCTTGTCCTCCCTTCCTCAACTGCATCCAGGACCCCTGTCCCTCTGTTCCCTTTAGAACCTTAGTCCTCCCCCAAGACCCAGAGCTGCTGGGTCTGGGTTCAGCTTGGGCAGCCTCAGCTTGCTTCTGCCCAGGCCCAGCTGTCCTTCTTCCCCTATCCTGGAGGGCAATTCAGAATCCCAAGGGGACCGGGGTTAGGCAAGTTAACCTCCAGAGCCTCCGTTTCTACTTCTGCAAGTGGAGAAAGCCTCTGGGGCCCTGCTCTGTGCCATGGAACCCACCAGATCATTGTTTCTTCCTCTGCACAGCTGTACAATGAGGAGATACTAGACCTGTTTGACAGCACCCGTGACCCTGACGCCCGCCACCGCAGGTCCAACATCAAGATACACGAGGATGCCAACGGCGGCATCTATACCACGGGCGTCACGTCTCGCCTCATCAACTCCCAGGAGGAGGTGAGCATCTGTCTGGTGGATGTTCAGGGCAGGACAGACAGGGGGACCTCCCGAGAGGCTAGAACCTGGTCCCGAGTCCTCACTTGTGCGTCTGTTCCCAGCTGATCCAGTGCCTGAAGCAGGGGGCCCTGTCACGCACCACGGCCAGCACCCAGATGAATGTGCAGAGCTCCCGCTCCCACGCCATCTTCACCATCCACCTGTGCCAGATGCGCGTGTGTTCCCAGCCTGACGTGGTGAGAAGCCCTTGGTTCTGGGGATCCCACGTGTATCCCAGGGAGGGCAAAGGAGGAGCCACCGACCAAGCTCGCTGACTAGAGCTGGAGCTTGCCACAGCCATTTGATTTTTCTTTGGATTTTGTTTCCTTGAGCCTCAGTTACCCCATCTGTACAATGGGTAACACTACTTCTAGCACCCAGCCTATACAAGTGCTATACCAGGCAGGGGCTCTACCCATGCCAGAGGTGAGGTACCCTGTGACCTCTGACTCTCCTAGATGGCTGTGCTGTGGGCCACAGGGTTGTAGGCCCAGGAGCTGCGGGGTGGGGCAGGGACTGGGCAAGTCAGATGCTGGCTTCTGCTGTAGGTGAACGAGGCAATAACAGGGCTTCCTGGTGGCCAAGCTCCCACCAACGAGTATGAGACGCTCACCGCTAAGTTTCACTTTGTGGACCTGGCTGGCTCAGAGCGGCTGAAGCGGACGGGAGCCACCGGCGAGCGCGCCAAGGAGGGCATCTCCATCAACTGTGGCCTGGTAGGTACATGGGGGCGGGGGGGGGGGGGTCGCCAGCCCCAGCAGCCAGCCCTGCTCAGGCTCCTATAGGCTCTGTGGTCCCCATGGCTGCCTAGTAGCCAGGACACCTGGAGTCGTTACTGTTGGGTCTTTATTTCTTCACCCTCAGGCCTCGCTCTGCCCCAACTTCCTGATTTCACCAGTTTACCTGTAAATCACCTGGAGCCCGGGGGCTGCTAGGGCCAGAAAAGCAGGTCCAGATGATTGGGGCTGGTGAGTCACACAGGCCTACCTTCGGATGGGACTCACGGGCAGGGTCTGTCTCCCACAGCTGGCCTTGGGTAACGTCATCAGCGCCTTGGGAGACCAGAGCAAGAAGGTGGTACACGTGCCCTACAGGGACTCCAAGCTCACCCGGCTCCTCCAGGACTCTCTGGGGGGCAACAGGTATCTGACCCCTAACATCCAGGCATGCAGTGGGGAGACAAGAAGGTTCCTGGAGAAGATGGATGTGAGGCAGGGACCTTGAGAGTCTCTGAGACCTTTGACTGGTTATGTTCAGACTCAGTTTCCTTATCTACACAGTTAGGAGAAAGAGTTTGACAGGAAGTCATCCAGCCTAAAAAGGAATAGATGGGAAATGCTAGGGAAAACACAGGGGCCTGTGGCATAGCCTGGTTACCAGGCAGAGGACTCTGGGGTTCGGGATCACCGCTTTCTCCCCTTGTTGGCTGGAAACTCTTAGCCAGGTGGTCCAGGTCTTTTGGGTGTTTAGGCAGAGTGGTATGGAGGGGGAGCAGGAGGAGCTCTCCTCGCAGACAGTTGCTCTGAGACCTGGCTGTGTCCCTTATCCTTGGCCTGCCTGATGCACCCCAGCCAGACCATCATGATTGCCTGTGTGAGCCCCTCGGACCGGGACTTCATGGAGACCCTCAACACTCTGAAGTACGCCAATCGGGCTCGCAACATCAAGAACAAGGTGGTGGTGAACCAGGACAAGACCAGCCAGCAGATCAGCGCGCTGCGGGCCGAGATTGCACGGCTGCAGATGGAGCTGATGGAGTACAAGGCGGTGAGCATGCTCCCAGGGTCTCCTGCGTACAGACTGCCTCCCCACCTGCATCCCCACCCTAAAGTCTCCGAGTTCCTCAGCATACCTCTCACCTCCCCAATGCCTGTCCATCCACTCCTCAGGTCTTCTGTGCCAGGTGTGGGGCCCAGTACTAGGTGATTCAGCACTGCTGAGTCCTTAGAACACTAAGTCCAAGAAGAAGAGCACACTGGCTCTGGTTATACCCAGGGCAGACCCTGTCCAGGAGCTCTTACATCCACTCAGCATGCTGCCCTGGAACAGCTGAGACCACAGGTCAACACTGGGCCCAAAGGACCCAGCCAGTGTGCTGCAACGGGACAGAGGAGAGTTGGCTCTGCTCAGGGAGGGGCTCATGGAAGAGGCCTCTTATATGGACTTTGAAGCACAAACAAGGTTACTGGCCAGAAGGAGGTGGGCAAGCACTCTAGGTAGAGAAGAAGCTATGTAAAAAGGAAGCAAATGAGAAAAGCGTGTACTGTAGGGGAAGAGTTTAATGCCACCACACTGGAGATCATGTAAGATTTTTGAGCCCTGGGAATCTGGAACTGTGGTTTAGGAAAACTGGGGTGGGGAAACACGAGACATGCCTTGGGAAAGGCCAAAGACAGAGGAAAGAGCCTCGTCTCCTGCCCGTCCTGTGAGATTTGGTGCCTGACAGCTTCTCCCGCCCCTTCCCAGGGCAAGCGGGTGATTGGGGAAGATGGTGCTGAGGGCTACAGTGACCTGTTCCGGGAGAATGCCATGCTGCAAAAGGAGAACGGGGCACTGCGGCTGCGGGTGAAGGCCATGCAGGAGGCCATCGATGCCATCAACAACCGCGTCACCCACCTCATGAGCCAGGAGGCCAACCTGCTTCTGGCCAAGGCTGGTAAGCTATGTGGGGTCGGGCAGCAGACCAACCCAGAGCATCAGTCTATAGGATCCCTTACCCCTGTAGGGGGCAGCTGAAGGCAGCTGGTCAGTGCATAGAGCCGCTTACCTACACATGTTTTCCAATGATTAGAAAACAAATCTAGTCTGATACAAATGACATGTGCACACACACATCCCCCTTGTTAAATGATGCAGAATATAATGTAAAAGATAAAGCTGAAAATTCCCTCAGCATCTCCTACCCATACCCTGTGTTTTTAGCACACTTGTATCAAGTGTATATATATGTTCCCGTACATACAAGAGTGTGAATATATGCTGTCTACATAGGTGACCATAGGTACTATTTTATATCTTCCATTTTTCCTTTTCTTTTTTCTTTTCTTTTCTTTTCTTTTTTTTTTTTTTTGGTCAGTCATGCGGATTGAATTCTGGGCCTGAACACTGTCCCTAAGCTCCTCAGCTGAAGTCTAGCACTCTACCACTTGAACCATTGCGCCACTTCCAGTTTTCTGACTGGTTTATTGGAGATAAGAGTCTCGCAGACTTTCCTGCCCAGGCTGGCTTTGAACCTCAATCCTCAGATCTGAGCCTCCTGAGTAGCTAGGATTACAGGCGTGAGCCACCAGTGCCCAGCTTCCTTTTCTTTTCTTTCTTTTTTTATGGTACTGAGGCTTGAACTTAGAGTCTGTGCTCACCAGCCCCCTTTTGTGTTGGTTACTATTATTGTTTTTGTTTTTTGTACTGGTGCTGAAGCTTGAACTTCGGGGCTCATACACATGCTGAGCCATACCTCCAGTTCCAGCCTTTTTGCTGGTGAATTGGAGAAACGAGTCTCTAAGGTTTGTCTACCTGGGCTGGCTTCAGACGTCAATCCTCAGATTTCAGCCTACTGAGCAGCTCAGATTATAGGCTTGATCCACTAGCACCAAGCAGTGTTATTTTCTTTCTTCCTTTCTTCCTTTCTTTTTTTCTTTCTTTCTTTCTTTCTTCCTTTCTTTCTTTCTTTCTTTCCTTCTTTCTTTCTTTTTTTTGGGGGGGAGGGTTCATGGGGCCTGAACTCTAGGCCTGGGCACTATCTCTCAGCTTTTCAGCTCAAGGATAGTGCTCTACCACTTGAGCCACAGCACCACTTGCAGATTTTTCCGCTTATGTAGTGCTGAGGAATTGAACCCAAGGCCTCATGCTTGCAAGGCAAGCACTCTACCACTGGGCCACCTTCCCATCCCCAAGCAGTGTTATTTTCATGGTAGGTCCTCTCTTTATGCCCCAGCTAGTCTGGACTGTAATCCTCTTAAGTTGTAACTTTTCTCTGCCACTGGGATGACAGACTCATGTCATCATTATCACGGTTGAAATGGAGTTATAAATTTTTCTATGCTCTTCCTGTCCATGAACTTCAATCTCCCATCTCCACCTTCCAAGTAACTAGGATTACAAGCTTGAGTACACTCCCCTAGCATCATTGTTCATTTAGCATTATGTTTGATAAATGTCCATATTAAAACCCACTTAATTTTTTAACTAGTGCATTATGGTCCATATGTGCTGATGAATAATTTATTCTAACAGCCTTCTATTGATGGACGTTGAGATTGTTTTCAATTTCATGCTGTTACCAGCAATGCATGGCACATCTGTGCTCATGTGCAAGCATTTCCTTCATGGAGATTCCTTTGTGGTAAAGGCCTTGTGGGACCCTGCCTGGGGCAGACACAAGGCCAGCAGCCTTAGAACTCTGGGCTCCAGTCATCACTGTTTTGACCTCCTTTATTGCACCTTCCTCCCTGCTTCCAGGTGATGGCAATGAGGCCATCGGTGCCCTGATCCAGAACTACATCCGGGAGATCGAGGAGCTTCGGTGAGTGAGTGCTAGTGGGTGTGGACAGGCTAGCGGCCTTGGTCAGGCAGGCTCAGGGCAGTGCTAGCTCACCGTCTCTGTCCATCGATGTGGTTCCTGCAGGACAAAGCTCCTGGAGAGTGAGGCCATGAACGAATCCCTCCGCCGCAGCCTGTCTCGGGCCTCAGCACGGAGCCCCTATTCGCTGAGTGCATCTCCAGCCGGTCCAGCGTTTGCAGCCAGTCCAGCCAGCTCCATGGAAGATGCTTCTGAGGTGATCCGCAGGGCCAAGCAGGACCTGGAGCGGCTAAAGAAGAAGGAGGTCAGACAGCGGAGGAAGAGGTGAGTGCGTGCTGGGGTACTCACACGGGGACCCCCACTCACCCTCCAGAGACTGCTGCCCTCCTCTGTTCAGGAGAGAGCACCCCCATCCAACTCCATCCCATCTACAAGGGCTTCCCCAGTTTTGCTACCTGGGGCAGGCCACCCCTTGCTGGGCTTCTTTGCTGTGCTTTTCCCCTCAAGCTTGAGTTCAGGTTGGGGGTGCTGGTTCTCCAAGTGCAGGAATGTCCCCTATCCATCCCCCCTCCCTCTGCCCCCTGCCTGGGGGGGGGTGTCCTCAAGGCAGCATTAGTCACCCTGATCCAGTTTCCTCTTCCTTCCACGGGCAGCCCAGACAAGGAAGCCTTCAAAAAGAGGGCAAAACTTCAACAGGAAAATAGTGAGGAGACGGATGAGAATGAGGCTGAGGAGGTGAGCACTCCCCTCCCCCCTCAGCCCTTCTTCACCATTACCCCTGTCTTTGCTGGGCTTGGGGAGTGGCTCTGTCAACATCTTTGTATGATGGGAGGGGGGAGAGCTGGGGACCTGCTTCCAGTTGACCCTTGAGCTTCCTGATAACTCTGGCAGGTTGCCATGGTGATCGCCATCCCTTGCTTTCCCCTGGTCCCAAATGGATGACGCTAGACAGAGGCTCCTTCCGAAGGCCACACTCAGCCCACTAGGGGTGGGGTACTTTCCCTGGCGGAGACAAGGCTGGCTCCCACCCATGCTCATCCCTCCCTGCGCCAGGCATTGTGTCTGGCCTGGCCTCTGCACACCCCTCTTTTGAGACTGGTACGGCCCTAATGGTGTTTGATACCTAGGAAGAGGAAGAGCGAGACGAGAGTGGCTGTGAGGAGGAGGAGGGCCGTGAGGATGAGGATGAGGACTCGGGCAGCGAAGAGAGCCTGGTGGACTCAGACTCGGACCCAGAAGAGAAGGGTGCGTGGGCCAGGGCGGGGGAGGGGAGATGAGATGCCTGCAGCCAGGGCCCGCGCAGCCCTGCTGGTCAGCGCTGGGTGCACAGGAAGTTCAGAGGCTGTCCGTGCTCAGGGCCCCCAGCCCCCAGATGACAAGCCAGCTCCTGTGTGCCCACTCGCTTTGCTTAGCTTGATTTGCAAGCTTGAGGTGTCCAAGCCTCTGCTATCCTGCACTTAGGTTCAGAGTCTTCCCTGAATCAGCACTGAATGAGCTCAGGGAGGTCCCATCCCTCCCCAGTGTGGTCTGTGCAGATCAGGGCTTGGAACAAGGCTCCTCTGGTGCCAAGGCCCGCTCATCTGCATAGGGTCTGATGCCTGGCCCCTTGGCTTTGGCCACAGTCCTGCAAGGTGCCGTCTCCTCCTCCACCCAAGCAGGGTCTCCTGTCATCTGTGATGATGAGCAGATATTAGCCTCTTGGTGCAGTAGGAACAAGATGTTAAAACCTCCTCCCAGTTCCTGAGCCCAGTCATGTCTTGGGGGGGGGGGGGGTTGTGCACACACGTGCATGCGCACACGCATTTGTGTACATGTGATGATACTGAGGCTGAAACTCAGGGGCTAGGCATAGTCCCTTAGCTTTTTTTTACTCAAGGCTGGCACTAACCACTTGAACTACACCTCCACTTCTGTATTTTTTACTCATCAATTGGAGATAAGAATCTCTTGGATTTAACCTGCCTAGGCTGGCTTTGAACCCCGATCCTCAGATCTCAGTCTCCTGAGTAGTTAGGACCCCAGGCCTGGACCACTGACACCTAGCTTCCTGCAGCTGCCTTTTCAATGTGTCTTGTAGCACAGTGCCCCACTGGGTGGTTTACATTTCACTCACTTGTGCTTGCTGATTGGTCACAGTTGACCAGAGAAAACCTGCTCCCTCAACTAGCAAGTGTGATCCCCTCCTGCCCCTTGCCCTGGCCTCGGCTCTAAGCCTGGCTCTGCCATGACCCTGCAGAGGTGAACTTCCAGGCCGACCTGGCCGACCTGACGTGTGAGATCGAGATCAAGCAAAAGCTGATCGACGAGTTGGAGAACAGCCAGCGGCGGCTGCAGACACTCAAGCACCAGTACGAGGAGAAGCTGATCCTGCTGCAGAACAAGATCCGGGACACGCAGCTGGAGCGCGACCGCGTGCTGCAGAACCTGAGTGAGCCCACAGCCTTGCTCTGCCCTGGCCCAGCCTCTGTCACAACACAGCCATCTGTGGAAGGCTTTGGGAGAAACCTGGCCTTCTACACATGGACTTCTGACCCTCTGACCTCCAGGAGCTACAAGTTCCTGAGTCTACCCCTAACCTCTCTGCTATATTTTCAACTCTTCTTTTTCATTATCATCTTACCTATTAGAATGCTTTGAACCTTCACATACTGAGGCGAGTGAACAAGACACCTGGACTTTTCCTCCTGCATTTAGTTTACAAACTGTGAATCGTATAACGCTCTTCAGTCTACCCATTCCATTATTCATTTCTTCATCCACTTATTGTCAAGCATTAGTTAAGTATGGCTCAGGGCCTTAGGGAATGGACCCTTCAGTGAGGAGAAATAAAATAAACAGAGTCTGCAGCGTGCAAATCACACTAGGTGCTGATAAGTATTTAAAAATAAAAGAAGACCGTAAGGAAGGGAAACAGGAACACTGGAGACTAGGTTTGAGTTTGAAAAAGGAAGACCACAAATGAAGGCAACTTTTTTATTGTTTGTCTGTCATAGGGGTTAAATTCTGGTCCTGGGTGTTGTCCCTGAGCTCTTTTTATTCAAGGCTAGTGCCCTGCCACTGTGAGCCACAGCTCCACTTCGGTTTTCTGGCAGTTGGAGATAAGAATCTCAAGGACTTTCCTGCCCAAGCTGGCTTCAAACCACAATCCTCAGAGCTCAGCCTCCTGAGTAGCTAGGATTACAGGCGTGAGCCACCAGTGCCTAGCTTCAAAGGTGCTTTGAGCAAAGCTTCGAAGGAGGTGAGGCAGTGCAGCCCAGTGATTCATGGGCAGAGCATCCCATCCAGGGGGAACGGAGGACACCAGGGACCTGAGTCAGGTGTGATGAGGCCTGGTGTGTTGATGGAGTGACAAGAGGCCCAGAGAGGCTGGAGCACAAGTCACATCTGCCGTGTAAGGACATTGCTTAGAGTCAGAGCGATGAGAAGGGGCGATATGCAGCATTTAAAAGCACTTTTGGAACATTATTCAGACTCCTCTGCAGGGGAATTGAACATAGTGCTGAGAAACTTCTTAGGAAATTGTAATAAAAATCTCAGGGTGGGGGCGGCGGCACTGGTTGAGCTGTGGCTGAAATAATACAGCCATGACTAGCGAATACGAGGTCCTGCCTTCAAACCTCAGTACTGCCAACAAAATATCCCAAGAAAGGTAGCTTGGGGGTAGTGAGACTTGAGATGCGTTCAGATGCAGGTGGACCAGAGAGGCTTTGTCGGTGTTGGGGCCTGAGGGAGAGGGGAGCCAAGGATGTATAGAGTGTGAGCTTCTGGACGGAAGGTGGTTGTGCTTCCTGAGATGGGGAATCAGGGCAGTGGAATCTGTCCGCTTGAGATTTCTATTTTAGCAGTTCAGGTGGGAGAGTCTAGGGTGGGGAGCCAGGTATACCCCTGCTCCAGCCCACGGCTCATCTTCTCTCGCTGACTGTGCCCTTTCCACTGGCCCAGGGGCCAGAACAGAACCAGCGTCAATGGGCTGTGAGGCCCTGTGTGAAGCAGAGAGGTCTCGAGATGAAAATAGCCCTTCACTTCCAAGAGACTGTAGGAGCAGGAAGGAGCTTGGGCCGCTCCTGGCCTCTCCCCGTGATGGTTCAAATGGAGACCCAGGCTGGGGGAGGGGGGAAGGCTTGCACAAGATCTCACAGTGATATGAGAAGCCATACACCACGCACCCCCTGCTTCCTTTCCAGTGAGCCACGTTTAGCGGGGCCCCTGGGCCCCTGGAGCTGAGAGCCGCCTCTTGCTGCCCTCAGGTACCATGGAGTGCTACACGGAGGAGAAGGCCAACAAGATCAAGGCCGATTATGAGAAGAGGCTGCGGGAGATGAACCGGGACCTGCAGAAGCTGCAAGCTGCACAGAAGGAGCATGCTCGGCTGCTCAAGAACCAGTCACGCTACGAGAGGGAACTGAAGAAGCTACAGGCCGAGGTGGCCGAGATGAAGAAGGCCAAGGTAGGACTGAGGGTGGCCTTGATGTGCCTTAGAATTCACTTTCCATGCTTAGGAGAGTCAAAGTAACTAGCTGTGGCTCGCACCTGTAATCCTAGCTACTCAGGAGGCTGAGATCTGAGACTCATGGTTCAAAGCCAGGTTGGATCAAAAAGTCTATAAGACTCTTATTTCCAGTTAACCAGAAAAAAATCTCGAAGTAGAGCTGTTCAAGTGATAGAGCATCAGCCTTGAGCAAAAAAGGTAAAGGAGGGGCTGGGAGGGTGGCTCAGTGGTAGAGCGCTTGCCTTGCATGCCTGAGGCCCTGGGTTCGATTCCTCAGCACCACATAAGCAAAAAGGAAAAAAAAGCCGGAAGTGGCGCTGTGGCTCAAGTGGTAGAGCGCTAGCCTTGAGCTGAAGAGCTGAGGGACAGCACCCAGGCCCAGAATTCAGCCCCACAACCAGACCTCCAAAAGAAAAAGGTAAAGGACAGCACCTAGACTCTGAGTTCAAGTCCCAGTATTGGCACACATACAAAAACAAAAAAAATCACTGATGTCAAGGAAGTGTAGGCTTTCTTTGCGGCCTTGTCTGATTTGACCCTGTGCTGGCCTTGCATTACTCCTCTCTCAGCCACGTGTATTGTCCAAGATGAAGGAACTGTGTGTCGTGGATGAAGGAATTGTTCTCAGTTCTGGTCTGTGTGTAGGGTGATGGAGTTCTTGGGGGACAATTGCAGATGCGCTGCTCAGTGCTGCCCCCTGTGGTAGGAAGCTATACAGTCAGGGTTGTCCCCTGTCTGTAGGTTCATATGCTCTTGCCCCAAATCATGATGACAATTGCAACCAGGCTCCTGACTAGTCACCTTACGTGCCTAGTCACATTCGGTTCTTAGGAGAACCTCGTGAGAAGATACCCATCACCCTCCCCACTGCTTGCATGGGGCTTGGGAGGCAATTCCGGCTACCAGGAGAGAGGGCTGGGATGCAAGTGCCGTTTTCCAAGCTGGTTTGTGTTCCAGAAGGCACGGTGCTCCCATTATCACGTTGTCATGGCCCAGGGTGCCCTCATCTCTGGGCCTGCTGCTGAAGGTCATGGCTCTTGGCTCAGGTCTTGTGCCTCTGGTGTCTAGCTATTTCTACCACTGGCTGAGATCCATTCTCCCTTCATATCCTCCCTCCCTGGGCCTTCCTGCCTCAACCCTCCGCCCCTGGTACCCCCACCCCACCCCAGATCTCCACAGTCCTGGTCTGGACCCTCAGCACTGGTGGCAGTCCTGGGGGAGCGGGGGGGGGGGCCTCAGGAACAGAGGCTAAAGAGAGAGGGGCCCACGGGGCTGGATCCTAGAAGCCCTTGGTAACCAGTCTCACTGCTGGCCTAGCTGGCACTCACCAGTGGGGGAGGAGAGAGGCAGTGCAGTGATGTCACCTCTTAGAGGAAGTCTGTGCGCAGTGGTTATGGACGCCAGCCGCCTCACCTGACCAGCTTCTGTCCCTAAGTTCAGGACACTGGTTCTGAGCAGAGTGCTCAGGCCAACTTGACCCCAAAGATCCAATTTTCACTGGCTTCAGTGCATCCACCCTGTGGACCAGATGCCACTGTCACCGGAGGGACTTCGTAACTCAAGTACCCACATTCTCCCAGACCCTGGGCGCCCTCTGGTGGTGAAGAGGGAGAGTGGGGAAGAAGAGGCTTTCTGATCCCTTGGTGGAGCCTACCTTGGCCAGTGCATACTGTAGCAGCTGCCGGCATAGCTCTGGATGCTTCTGGATGCTTCCCCACTGTTTGTCTGGATCCCACTGAGGTCTCTGAAGGAGAGACAGCCCCAGCATCTCCTGGCCAGCTCCCACTGCACCTGGGCATGGCCCTGGGGAGCATTATGAGAAGATTGTCATAGTGTCTGAAGCCTGGGGAAAAAAACCTTGTCCAGTGTCTGGGATGTATTTGAAAGCTAGACGGACCCATGTGTTTATCTCAGCTGAGGCCCTTCAGCCAGGCCCAGCTCTGTCATGTTACTGTGCTCTTAGGAGCCAAGCCTGGATATAGAAAAGGTCAGCCTGGGGTCATCCCAGGGATTTTCAGAGACAAGAGGACAGAGAGCAGATGCCAAGGATTCTACCCAGATACCGTGAGGACCAGTATCTGAGGATCTTCCCACAGCTGCAGGGCCCAATGCTTCACAGAGCTGGACCAGGCGGGCTTGAGCTCTGGGGTCTCTTGGGAGAAGGCAGATTGCCTCTTAGTCGGAGCTGCAGAGCAAAGCTGGTCTCGGGCGCTGAGACCCACTTCAGAGTTGTCAGGTGCTTAGACCAAGCTTATCCACTCAGAGGCCATCACCATAGCTTTCCCAGAGCTCAGCCACATGTGTGAGTCGAGTGCCTAGATCAAGGATCAGGAAGGCTCAGCTCTGAGCGGGCTAGAGTTCTAAGGTACACCTTTAACCTTGTGGAGAACACTCACATTGGAACCCAAAGACCTAGCAGCGGCCATTGCTCTGCTCTGTAGATTCTGCCTCCCTGCCTCCCTTTCCTTGGCATCCTCAGAGCAGGGCAGGTTGATGACACTTCTGGTGGTATTTGAAGCCTATAAGGACTGGCCCCAATAATGATTCTCTTGCCACCACCAGTTGGAAGGTATGAAAAAGCCTACATTTTCAACAGGGCCCTGAGACAGTGGCTCACAGCACATTGAATCCTCTCTGATACCACTAATGGTGTTCGCTGTGCCTTTGGCTAGGCTTGGTCCCTCTCCCTGTCTTGACCAAGCAGAGACTGGCATGGTGCCATGCTGTGAGCCACAGGAAGGCAAAATAACCTGGGCTATGAGGCTGGCCATCCATTTCTAGTTCTGTGGCTCTAAGTCATCTTTATCTCCAAAGCCCACTTTCTTCTTTGTAAGGCAGAAACGGTGAAGCCTCTCATGTGATTCATGAGAACTGGGCCTGGCATAGAGTCTGTTCTCAATAAATAATGGTGGTTTTTATTGCTGTCACTGTGAGCCTGGACCTGGAATCTGACCCTAATTCAGGGTCACCTCAACCCTGTCCACAGTTCAGGATGTTACTAGAAGACAGCTCTGCCTCCAGCAGCCAGGCTGTCCTAGAAGAGTCAGACTGAAGGTGGTGGCTTTGAACTGGGGCCAGGGTTGGGCCTTGCAGAACAGAAGTCTCCACACTAGAAGGCTGGCTGTCAGGCCACCCCCTCTGGCTGTGGGATTGCCCCTGTGGCTTTAGCTGCTCTGGAAGGAAAGAGCTGGAGCCATCCTCTGCCAACCCTGCCCCATGCCCATGTCCGCTTTCCTTCCCAGGTGGCACTCATGAAGCAGATGCGGGAGGAGCAGCAGCGGAGGAGGCTAGTGGAGACCAAGAGGAACCGGGAGATTGCTCAGCTTAAGAAGGAGCAGCGGCGTCAAGAGGTGAGAGACCCCAAGCATCCCAGGAGCCTTTAGCCTGGCAAAGGCCTTTAGCTGAGCCCTGGGGCCCAGCCTCCCAGGCCCCCAGCTGCCCCTCCCAACCAAGCTGGCCTCCATTCCTGCGGTGCTAAGCCACGTGTTTATGATCAGAGTAGAGTGTAGCTGTCAGCAGGTTAGCTCCTTCCCCCTCCCCGTAGTCCATGTTCCAAGGAAGTTAGACATGAGCCCAGAGAGGAGCAGGACCTCACATGCCATGGCCACCAGCAACACAGACACATCAGGCTGTGTCAGGCCTAACGGGGCTGCGCCTGCTGTCTGCGTTCCCTGCCGTAGTCAGGGATCAGTGTGTCATAAGCACCAGGGACTTCACCACAACCTCTAGGGAGCAGAGCTCAGCTCAGAGTCCCAGTCTGGCTGCCGGAGAAGCAGCTACATGAGAACAACCCAGGCCTCCGGCGGCAGAGCTGGCCCGGCTGTGGCCAGCGCATCCAGGCCGAGAAGGTGCCGGTGCCTGAGTGTGGACCCTGCCTCTGCCCTCTCAGTTTCAGATCCGAGCCCTGGAGTCCCAGAAGCGGCAGCAGGAAATAGTCCTGAGGAGGAAAACCCAGGAGGTGAGCACACGTAGCTGCTTCAAGGCCCCGCCCCTACTCAGCGCTCCCTCCATCTTAACTTTTGCTTCTTTTTAGGTTTCTATTTTGGTTTGGTTTGATTTCTTCAGACTCTCAGACTCTGTAGCCTGGGCTGGCCTGGAACTTGCTATGTAACCCAGGCTGACTTCCAGCTCTTCCTCCTCCTGCCTCTTGTTCTCTGGCATCAAGGGGTGGGGGGGTACCATTCCTGACTATTCCTTCTTTTATTCAATAAACACAGTGATGCCCAAGCTGTGCCATGCTTGTGAGAAGCACCCTTCTCAACAAGAGAGTTGGGTGTTGATATCAGAAATTGGAAAGTTGGGGGGCTGGGAAGGTGGCTCAGTGGTAGAGCGCTTGCCTTGCATGCCTGAGGCCCTGGGTTCGATTCTTCAGCACCACATAAGCAAAAAGGAAAAAAAAGCCGGAAGCGGCGCTGTGGCTCAAGTGGTAGAGCGTTAGCCTTGAGCTGAAGAGCTGAGGGACAGCGCCCAGGCCCAGAGTTCAAGCCCCACGACCGGACCCAAAAATTAAAAAAAAAGAAATTGGAAAGTTGCCAACGCTTACAGTGGCAGACACAAGTTTCCCATAACTTCTTTTCACTTGAAAGCTCACATTTTTGTTATGCTGCCAGTTGTTGCAACTGAAGTAAAGACCAAATCCATTCATTTTCCCAAAATAAATAGAGAGAGAGAGAGAGTTGGAGCTTCGGGACAGATTACAGACTTTGTCCCCACATACTTGAGCTAATTACTTAAAAAGTAGTGTGGTCATCTGCCTTATGTTCATTTCGCATCAGACAGACAGGAGATCTTCTGCCCAAGCCTGAGTCAGCCACCTCTCCTCTCCCAGCCTGGCACCCCACACCCACTCCCCTGCGCTCTGTGCGGCTCTGGGCCGTCTTGCTGACTGGATCCCTCATTTCTTGTTCTCCTGCCCCCAGGTTTCTGCACTTAGGCGCCTGGCCAAGCCCATGTCTGAGAGGGTGGCAGGGCGTGTGGTATCAAAACCACCCATGCTAGATTCTGGGGCCGAGGTGTCAGCCAGCACCACCTCCTCTGAGGCCGAGTCAGGGGCCCGCTCTGTCTCCAGCATCGTGCGCCAGTGGAATCGTAAAATCAACCACTTCCTGGGGGACCACCCCACCTCCACGGCCAATGGCAGCCGCCCAGCTAGGTAAGACAGGTGGACCGTGCCTGGCTGTGTGCACAGGCAGAGCGTGGGCATCATGGGAATGGGTCTGGCTCATATGAACAAGGCCCAGGTTCTGGGAGGGCTCCGGCCTGGGCCTCGTCAGCTCCAGGCTGGAGCTTGATGGAGCCACAGAGATGAAGGGTAGTCTTTGCCTCTGCTTTCCAGAAAGAAATTCCAGAAGAAGGGGGCCAGCCAGAGCTTCAGCAAAGCGGCCAGGCTCAAGTGGCAGTCGCTGGAGCGGAGGATCATCGACATCGTCATGCAGAGGATGACCATTGTGAACCTGGAGGCCGACATGGAGAGGCTCATCAAGGTGGGCCGGCCTTCCCCTCGCTCCCCTCCCTCCCTCCATCGGGTCTTCCGTGGCTCTGCGGAGGTCTCTGCCTCTTCTCCCTCTCCTCCTTGGGGCCTGCTTTGAGATCCAGAGATGTTGGGCGGGGGAGGTCTCTCATGGCTGGGGATTCTTGGTCAGGAGCTGTGGGCAGGGCAGGAGAGTCCCCTGAAGTTCCTCATCCATCCCTGTCCCCCCAGAAAAGAGAGGAGCTGTTCCTCCTGCAAGAGGCTCTTCGGAGAAAGCGCGAGCGGCTGCAGGCCGAGAGCCCCGAAGAAGAGAAGGGGCTGCAGGAGCTGGCGGAGGAGATTGAGGTGTTGGCCGCCAACATCGACTACATCAACGACAGCATTACCGACTGCCAGGCCACCATTGTGCAGCTGGAGGAGACCAAGGTGCCCCCAGGGCTGGGCATGGCCGGGGCAGGGATGCTAGAGATTGGACAGGTAGGGGACAGCCTCAGATGACAGGGGTCTCTGCTTCCTGGTCCCAGGAGGAGCTAGACTCAACAGACACATCAGTCGTCATCAGCTCCTGCTCCCTGGCCGAAGCTCGCCTCCTACTGGACAACTTCCTCAAGGCATCCATCGACAAGGTGAGCGGGTGGGGCGCCCCCTGTGTGGGCAGCCCGCAGGCCTAGGCACCTCCATGACATGCCCTTGTGGTGATGTGTACCGGGCCTGGTCCTCCTCCTCTGCGTCACCCACAGGCTCGGGCAAGCCACCCAGCCTCCAAGTCTCAGGTTGTTCAGCCATAAAACTGGAGTGATGACAGTGCAGAGGTGGTAGCTGGTCACGTGGCTTCCGTGAGATGATGCAGGGAAGTGGGCTTGACATGGCTCCGGGCACACAGCCGCTGACCCTGTGTGTCTGGCCCAGGCTTAACCGCAGCAGGGCTGGCTGGGGTCTGCCGGAAGTGGAAGGTAGAGGTTAGGGGTCAGGGAACTTGAGACAAAGCATGTTCCACCCTGGAAAACTGATGCCAGAACATCAGGAGTCCTCTGGCATCCTTGGGTTCACCCCTGTCCTGCCTGAGGATGTGTTTCCTCCCGTCCTGGGTCTTGGGAACACATGCACTAATGTGCATGCCTTCCCTGTCCTCACACAGACTCCCCACACACACACATACACACTGCCCTGTGCATCCAACCGTACTGGATGAAGGACCAATATGACCTCATACTACCCTAGTTACCTCCAAAGGCCCTGTCTCCAAATACCATCACATTCTGGGGTAGTAAGAGTTTGGGAGAACACAGAGCAGAGGGGGTTGGAGGTAAAGCCTCCCTCCACGAGGAAGGGTAACCTCAGGTCTTGCTTCCTGCCCTCAGGGGCTGCAAGTGGCGCAGAAGGAGGCCCAGATCCGGCTGTTGGAGGGACGTCTGAGGCAGACAGACATGGCGGGCGCCTCCCAGAACCACCTGCTCTTGGATGCCCTGCGTGAGAAGGCCGAGGCGCACCCTGAGCTGCAAGCCCTCATCTACAACGTGCAGCAGGGTAGGGGTGGTGTGGGCAAGGCCTCCCTGCTCCCAGGGCTCTCCCACCGCGTCCCCTGGGGCCGGTGTCTTTGTGTCTCCAGAAATCCCAGAGGGAGGCCATCCCCACCTACCCCAGCCTCTCACGGGGGTCTCTCAACCCTCTTTCCCCAGAGAACGGCTACGCCAGCACGGATGAGGAGGTCTCCGAGTTCTCCGAGGGGAGGTAGGCGTCCAGGCTGGGAGTGAGAGGCTGGCCCTCAGCCTGCGCCTGGGACTACGGGGGGTGGCCGTAGGATTCGAGGGCTGCACCTAGATGTGGAGGCTCTCTGAAGCCTAGAGAGGTAAAGCTCCGGACATCAGGACCCCACGCCTTCTCTGCTCTTTCCTCAGCTTCTCCCAGTCATTCACCATGAAAGGTTCCACCAGCCACGACGACTTCAAGGTCAAGGTGAGTTCTGCTACAGAGGAGACAGCAGGTGAGGCAGAGCCAGCCTCTCCCGGCCGGGTGCCTAGGCCTAGTCGCCCCCTCACCCCAGCCCCATGTCGCCCCAGCTGGGATGAGGCACCATAAAGAATCTAGCCTGGAATTGAACGATGTCCAGATAGGTAACCCAGTCTTGATGAATAGAAGGTGGGAGAAATGTCTAGAGCCCCTTCGTAACTGTTTCCACTCTGCCTAGTGATACTACCATATCCAGAAGCTCTGCTTAAAACAAAATTCTCGCTTTTCCCACTCAAGACTCTGTCCCATGCTAGGTTCAAAGTCTAACTCTAGGTATCCAGTGACTGTGCCTTCAGATAGTTCATTCAACACATTGAGAGTCAACAATAAATAAGAGAGCTCACTTCACAGCACGGGGCGGGGGGGGGGGGGAGGCACGGGGCACAGCGTGGCGTTAGTAGACAGAACCAGCACCGTGCTGCATCCATGCCAGGCTGGGGTTAGCTGGTGACCAGCAAAGGGGTTAATCTGGACACTCTGTGCTTCTCAAAGTCTTAACTAAGGGCAGGAAAATTGTTGTTGTTGCTTTAGAGTCTCCAGAAGCCTGAAGAGTTTAGCTGTGGAGCACAGAGATGCCTTGGGTCATGTCTCTCTTCTAGTGGCCCCTCTACTGAGGCCAAGGCAGCGCCAGTTTCTTGGGATTTCACACACACACACACACACACACACACACACACACGCACATGCACTTTGTGTACCATCTATTAAGACGAATTGGTCCATCTAGTCCTTATCTTGCCAGGGTGAGCCCAAGCTGTCTGCCCAAATGAAGGCCGTGTCCGCCGAGTGCCTGGGCTCCCCGCTGGACATCTCTACCAAGAACATCACCAAGTCCTTGGCCTCCCTGGTGGAGATCAAGGAGGATGGAGTGGGCTTCTCTATCCGGGACCCCTACTACCGGGACAAGGTCTCGCGCACCGTCAGCCTGCCCACACGGGGCAACACTTTGTAAGGAAGGGATCTGGGTGGAAGGTGGGTCAGATGGGCGGGGAGTTGGGTCTGGGCCTCACCGGACACTTCTGTTCCAGTCCCCGGCAGTCTCGGGGCACAGAGACGTCCCCTCTGACCCGGAGGAAGTCGTATGACCGCGGGCAACCCATCAGGTGAGAGCATGTTCCAGAATCTGCCCCAGAGACCCTCCCCGACACAGAGGTATGAGTGGCAGTGTGGCTGTACTCTGTAGATCGCTGTGCACACGGTTGACTCTGTCCCAGCTGGCCTGAGTCATTGAGTTTCACCCAGGGACCTTGTTCACGCTGTCAGTTAGGGGCCTAGGGAATGCCAATGCCATACAGTAGCTGAGCCATAGTTAGAAGCTGTACTGTGCACTCAGCATTGGTGGCTTTAACTTCTGCTAACAGAGGGTGTGTGTGTGTGTGTGTACTGGGGCTTGAACTCTGGGCCTCCCATTCTCACTTGGCTTTTTCACTCAAGGCTGGGACTCTACCACTTGAGCTACACTTCTGTTTCCAGGCTTTTTGAGGGTTAAATGGAGATAAGAGTCTCAGATTTGTCTGCCTGGGCTGGCTTTGAACCTCGATCCTCAGATCTCAGCCACCTCAGTAGCTAGGATGACAGGCGTGAGCCACTGGTGCCTGGCCTATGGCTACTGCTTCTACTGATGTGCCACATCACCGTGTCATGCCCTTGGGTCTTGAGAGCATCCTTTTTTTCAAGGCCTCTTATGAAAGGAGTGTAGAATCTCAAAGAAAACCCAGAGAAGGCAGCACAGACCAGTGGAGAGACCTCCAGCTACGCTGGCACAGGTGGGCCAGGCCCTGTGAAGCTTTTGCACATTGCAGGACGACTTTTAGGGTCCTCTGGTCATGTACTTAACTTGTGTAGGTTTGGTGCTTTCCCCAGATCACACAGCTAAACACTAAGGAAGCAAGACTCGGGTTGACCTCCTGCCACCCGCCGTGGTAAGAGGCAGAAGGAGGGCACACGGCAGCTCCCAGCCTTTCCTCCTCTCCAGAGCCTCAGCAGGTGCCCAAGACACTGCTTACAAATACTTGCAGTGCGAGAGCTTAGGCCAGACTCATGATGAAGCTCCCAAGCAAAGAGAATTTCATCTGAACCTAAGGACAGCCCTCCAAGGGGAGGAGCCTGGAGTGCTGTGGTGGCCGTTCACAAGGCCATAGGGTCTTCCTTGGAGGTATGGGCAGTTCTCATGGATCATGGCAGTTATGTTCTGTGATGTCACTATGAACACCAAGTCATGAGTGAGGAACTATTGCTCCTAGGAAGAAAGAAGTCAGGGTAGCTTCCTGTAGGCTTCCGGTTATGACATTTTCAATGATCAACTTACTGCTACTTAAAGACAACTAACTTAACATATATCACTGCAGTTGGCACCCCTAGCGCTGTAACTCGGGCCAGCATGAAGCTCACCAGACCCATACAGCCCAGCCCTCTTATGCTCAGAACACCAAACAGCACTTAGCATTATGCACGGAGATTGTTTCAAAAATTGAAATCAGTGGGAGAGAAACAAGGGAAGGGGTAACATTGTCCAGAAAGAAATGTATGCTTCACTTGAATTATGTAACTGTAACACTTCTGTACATCACCTTGATCATAACAACTTAAAACTTGAAAAAATTGAAGTTACCTGGCTATCATGGCACACTCCTGTAATCCCAGTTACTCAGGAGGCTGAGACAGGAAAACTGTAAATTTGTGGATTAGCCTAGTCAACTTAGTAGTACCCTGTCCCCAAAACTAAAAAAGAAAAAGAAAAAGTTTTTTAAAAAAAGATAAGGGTATATAGCTCAATGGTAGAACACTTGCCTAGCATGCACAAGGCCCTGGGTACTGAAAAAAAAATTTTTTTTTTAATACTGATATCACTAGAGCCACAGCAATACTAACACAGTTCTAACCAGACCATTAACAAGACATTTGCCCAGTGTCAGAGCTGACAGCCTCGGCTGGGAACTTGCATAGGGAGTAACTTAACTTTTTCACTGTTTTACACAAATCCTCAAACAATACGGAAAGCCAGGAGACCCAGGAGCATTGCCTGGGAGATTACAAAGGAATGTCCAACAGTAAATGGACCCGCACAGCCTGGAGGAGCTTGTCTGGGAGCCGGGTCCTGAGATGACTCACAGCAGGCTCTGCCCTATGGTCTTCCACACACAGGACAGCAGCAGGCCCAGCACCAAGGGTGGGCCTGCAGGTGGGGGTGTGATCACTAACAGACCTGCTCTCTGTCCCCACCCCCCAGGTCTACAGACGTGGGATTCACACCTCCTTCCTCCCCTCCCACCCGCCCCAGGAATGACCGCAATGTCTTCTCTCGGCTCACCAGCAATCAGAGCCAGGGGTCAGCGCTGGACAAGTAAGAGCAGGACTGAGGGGCAGGCTCGGGAGGGAGCTCCAAGGGGGATGGGAGCCTGTGGCTGAGGCTTGCTGGAGGCAGGGGGGAGCTAAGCTGACCTCCAACCCTGCTCTTTCTGCCACTGGGAGCGATGCGTCCCTCCCATCCCTAGTCCTTTCTGGACTGGCAGATGGTGTTCCCTTCCTGTTGCATGCTGGGACCTCAGGAGAGGACAGGAAGGAAGCCACAGGGATGGAGGCACTGAGGATAGGCAGACACGCCTTCCTGCGCTGGGTCTTTGCTCTTCTCAGAGGACCGACCCTTCCTTCAGCTTCAGCTTCAGCTGGCGGCCTGGTGTACCAGCCATGCAGGCCCCGAACGCCTGTACCCACGGCCCCTGTTGTAATACTGTACCTGCTCAGTGTCATTCCCACGGCATGCTCACCTTGCTTTCCCGCTTACCCGCCCTCTGTGGTGCCACTGGAACATCAAACCAGCCCTGAGAACTGACCACCCTGGAATGAGGCCCAGAGAGAAAGAAGCCAACAGGGCCCCGCAGCCACCCAGGGCTTCCGACGGCCACTCATGTCCTAACAGTGGCCCCTGCCCTGGGCACGGGGAGGAGTCCATCCTGCCTGTGTTTGCTCCAAACCGCAGGGCCTCCTCCCGCCCTCTGCAGTCCCCACAGGGGCTCCCCAAAGCTTCCCTATCACAAGGGCAATGTGTCCCCAGGTCAAAAGGTGCTCGGCCGCCCTGTCCTCTCTCCTTTCTCGGTCACAGTGCTGCTCCCTGAATACTGAGTCCAGGGTCCAACCCAGCAGGCCCGGTGCCCTGGACACCTCCTCCCTGGAGCCCACTGCGCCCTCGGCTTCTCGCGGGGGCAGCTGTGACCCCAGCCTGGCCTCCCCAACCACGCCTTTACAGCCAGCTGCACTCCACGTTCTGCTTGATTTTGGCTTTGAGACAGGGTCTTGTTCACTCGCCAACCCAAGCTAGCCTTCAAACCGCAGCCTCTGGGTGTTTGGATTACAAGCATGCAACATCCCAGCCTGGTGGTGGTCTGTTTCCGGCCCTGTCCAGTGGCCCAGGTCTTGAGCTGAATGTGCGGGCCAGAGCCAGCTCCCAGCGTGGCCCCAGTGGGCTTCCAGGGGGTTGTGAGTTTTGTAAATCAGCGAGCCCTGAGCAATGGCTGCCACAGGCCGTGTCCCAGGGGCGGGGTAGGCGCGGCTGTAGCATTGCCGGGGTGGGCTGCTGTCCCAAGCTGTGCGATGGGCCAGCCAGAGAGCTTGGAACCAGTTCAAAGCCCTGGAACCACTTCCCAAGTGTGGGCTAGCCTCCCACCTCTCCTACAGCCCCCTCCTCACTCCCACCCTGCTAGCTGAGGGACCCCCCCCCCATGCCCTCCCCTCGGGGGAGTCTCCCAGCTCCCAGGCTGGCCTGTCCCCGCCCTCTTCTGCTCTCCCTGAAGGCCCTCCCCCCTCTGCCTCTCTTCGCTCCCCTCAAAGAGAATAACCGCCCTCTGACCCCTGCTGCCGCCCCCTCTGCCGTTCCTCTGTGTGTTTTCCTCTCTCCCCTAATCCAGCTAATTTTCTGCCCTTCCCAGGTCTGATGAGAGCGACTCCTCTTTGTCGGAGGTCTTGAGGTACACACAGAATGTCTCTCGTGTTTCACTCCTGCTCTCGCTCTCCCCCGTCTCTCGCTCTCTTCTCTGCCCCCTGCTCGCCAGTCGCCCCTGCCTGTACACCAGCCCTCCGCATGCAGCCCCTCCTCTCCCCGCGCCCTGCCCTCCCCCTCCTGTCCCCCCTGAGACCTCCTGCCACACGGTTCCTTCCTCTCCAGGTGGCCTCATGGCCTCTGACGGCACCAGGCCTGGCTGGAGCTGGGGCTTGGGGAGGAGGGGGCGCAGTTGCTTGTGGCTGGTCCTGTTCTTTTCTCCCTCCTGGTCTGAGCAGGGTGGAGCGGGGGCATGGCGTGGGTAGGCTGAGCTCTGCTGAGGGCCCCACTGCAGGTGAGAGAGGCTGTGAGGCCTCGGGGAGCAACCAGGCTCTTAGTGAGGGGGTCGAGGACTGAGCAGGGCCCTTGGGACTTAGCCTGCACCTGGAGGCAAACCCTGGAGGCTTTGTCACCGCAAGGCACCAAAGCACGCGGTGTCCCTGCGCGCATCACTCGGTACATACGTGTGCAGATGCCTCCTCCCCTCGGCCTCCAGCCAACCCACAGCAAGGGTAGAGTCTCAGGACCCCAGTGGGGGGTGGGGGGACTCCCAGCACTGGTGTTGGCATTGGTGCACCTTGTACAGCAAGCCAGGCTGGGCCACAAGGAGACGCGAGCGGACGCACGCCAGCCTCTCTCAGAAGAGAAGGCTCCCTTTTCTCCAGCTCCGCAGCAATCTTGGGCACACTGGGCCCAAACCACTGCCACAAGCAGAGAGCTGGGAACTACACGGGCAGCCATTTGTATGAGTGCCAGGCTGGCAGCTGGCTGTGTCTGACTACCATCCTAGTGGTGAGCTTGGTCACCAGGGCCTTAGCAAACCCCGGGCCACAATGTCACTTTAAAAAGAAAAAAAGTAGAGTATGTTTTCCGACATAATTTGGCCCCTGTCTTATCCCAAAACACTCCCTGAGAGAGAAAAACAAGCCAAGGCCAGAACCCCAGGAGGCTGCTATAGCCAGGTCCTCATGCTCATCCAAGCTCCGCCTACTGGCCTCTCGGAGCATCATGGGGAGCAAATGGGTTCCATTTCAGGTCCAGACAGCCCAAGCCTCCTCATCCCCGGCTGAGCTGGGGTTCCCTGGGGGTTTATCCCTTTGCAAATGACTGGCACCGCCTTACCATGCTGATCCAGTCCTCTACGTGTAGAACTCTGTGTGCGTGCCTGTGCACATGCATGCGTGCGTATGTGTGCACCTGTGTCAAGTTTCACTGACGGAGGGGCCAGCCTCCAGGCAGTAACTAGCAAGTGGAGGAGTTGTGTCGGGAAGTCATCCCTCCCTCACAGGTCTGCTGACAGCTGCCCTCCCTCACTCTTGCCAACTGAAGTAGCCTGAAGATTCTGATGGCAGCGGCAGGGCGGATTCTAGCACTTGGGCCTCCTCTGTCCTGCTGCGCCAGGGCCTGAGTGCAGTTCTGTCTCAGGCTGTATCTAGCCCAAGCCGCATTGGATGGGAACCCCCCACACACACACACACAAACACACACTTACACCACCCTCTATGCCTAGCATGTTGTGTACTTCCTAGATGTGTCCAGGATGGTGACTGGCAGATCGCTGTACAAGGCCCCCTGCCGGCCCTGCCCAGCATTTCCTGGCTCTCGGCCCTTGGTGGCGTTCAGCTAGAGGCTTTAGAATCATTAGCCTTCATCCATCCCCTCTCTGCCCAGTCCCTTCCCTCCGTGCGCCCGATCGGCCTCCCTGTGGTCTCCCTGGCTGACGCACGCGTCCTCTCTCCCTCTCTCCCTTCGGGAAGGGGCGTCATCACCCCTGTGGGAGGAGCTAAGGGTGCGAGGACCGCCCCGCTGCAGTGCGTCTCCATGGCCGAGGGCCACACCAAGCCCATCCTCTGCCTGGATGCCACGGATGAGTTGCTTTTCACCGGGTCCAAAGGTACGTGGAGCCCCCAAGGGGCCGTAGTAGGGTTAGGGCTCCCCCCATTCATCCCAACTGCCTTTGCCCAATGTAGGCTGTGATGGGACCAGAACACAGAGCCTCCAGGAATTGAGGGGGACCATGACTGGCTTCTCACCTGCTTTTTGTCTTGTCTCTGCATCCCTGGCCAGCCCTCCCCTCCCCCTTCCCCCCTACCCCACACCCTTCACCCTTCCTCCCTGAGAAATGTTAGGGAGCTTCCCAGGAGCCTAACGTCTCAGACCTCAAACACCACCACTCACAGTGTCACCCAGCACCTTCCCAGAAGCCTCAGCGCGGTGGTTTCTGTGACTCAGCCACAGTAGACACCATAGTAGATGCATACTGCATGAATGATAGACTTAAATTATATTGCACGCATAGTAGAAACCGGCATTGCCGGAGGCAGAAAGGGGATGAGGAGATTTTACACACACACACACACACACACACACACACACACACACACACACACACACACATCCTCAGAAGAAGTGAAGTCCGCTTGCTTATCATGTTGTCTCTTGCCTTGTCAGTCAAAGTGTGATTGAGTGGTTCTAAGCTTGCCATGGTTCCTATAGGTAGTCTGTATTGGCATTTGTAAAAATGAGCATGGAAGCCGTAGGAATTTTATTTCTGTCCAGGATAGCTTGGCGATGCTCGAAGAACTCACCAATCTCTCCCCTGAGGTTCTCGTGATAGCGCTGTGTGCCACTTAGACGCAGTTCCCTCTCCCAGATCTCTCTCCATCTCTCCCTGCTAGCCCTGCCAGTTCCCTGTCACCAGAGGAGCTGCCCGGCCCCGTGGCTGACGTGGCCCCCTCTTCCTGGCTCTCTCCCCCCATCTCCTGCAGACCGGAGCTGCAAGATGTGGAATTTGGTTACGGGACAGGAGATCGCAGCTCTGAAGGGCCACCCCAACAATGTGGTCTCCATCAAGTACTGCAGCCACTCGGGGCTTGTGTTCTCCGTGTCCACCTGCTACGTCAAGGTGTGGGACATCCGGGACTCAGCCAAGTGCGTTCGAACCCTCACGTAAGTTTTCCTGCCTGTTTCACAGTACTGGCTGTCACCCCAGGTGACAGCTAAGCCTAGCCATGCCTGGATCCCTTGCTTGGTGGGACCAGTATCTTGGATGAGTTGGTGAGCCTTTGGGTCACACCTTAAGTTGTACCCTTTGAGATGAGCCGGGTATAACCCTGGGAGCCCCAAAGAGAAATCATGAAGCATGGTGACATGCACAGTGACAACAGCACTGCAGCCAGCCTGGCCGCCTCTGTGTGCGGATGAGTCACCATGATGGTGGTGAGCCCTGGCCTGACAGTCGGAAGCAGGCCCTGGAGATCAAAGATCAAAGATCCTTACGAAAGGTCTTACATCCTTGCATCTATGGTGTTTTTATTACATGAATTTGATCCTCGCATAGCAATTAGAAGCCAGGTGCTGGTGGTTTACACCTGTAATTCTATCTACTCAGGGGGTTGAGATCTGAGAATCAAGGTTCAAAGCTAGCCCTGGCAGACAAATCTGAGAGATTCTCATCTCCAATGAATCATCCAAATGTTGGAAGTGGAATGTGGCTTAAGTGGTAGAGTGTCAGACTTGAGTGAGAAAGCCCAACAAGAACCCAAGGCCTTGAGTTCAAGTCCCAGTACTGACACACATGAAAGAAAGAAAGCAGAAAGGAATTATTCTAAACTAGGAAAATTACTCTAGGATGGCATAATGGTAGGTCGCATCAGTCATTATACATTTATCCAAACCCAAAGAATGTGCAATACCAGGAATGAACCCAGAGCAGACAGTGGGCCTGGGGGGGTGGGGGCTCATCAGCTGTAATAAAGGGACCGCACTGGAGTTGATCACTGGCCACTGGTAACCGGGAGGCTGTAGCCGTGTGGCAGAGGAGGTAGTGGGAACTCTGGACTTTCCTCTGGGTTTTGCTATGACCTGAAACTGCTTTTTAAGAAAAAGAAATCCTAGGAAAGAAGTAGATGAGTTTGTTCTCTTCTTTTCACAAATGAGGAAACTGAGACTCAGAAGTATTTAGTGATTTCCACAAGTCCAGGTTCAAAGCTGGTCTCCTGACTTGGTCTTTTGGCCTGTCCAAGCCCACCTGGACCTACTGACAGGTCCCACTGATTTGTGTGGTGAAGGGCAGAGCAGAGGTCTTCCCTGGACCCGCTTCTAGGGGAGCCAGGGGTCTTCCTGAGTCAGGGAAGGCTTCCTGGGAGAAGTGAGGTTAGACCGTTCTGACTCTGGCCTCGCCTCTTAATCACGGTAGGTCCTCCGGCCAGGTGATCTCAGGAGACGCCTGTGCTGCCACGTCCACGCGGGCCATCACGAGCGCCCAGGGAGAGCATCAGATCAACCAGATGGCCCTCAGCCCCTCGGGAACCATGCTGTATGTCGCCTCGGGCAATGCGGTCCGCATCTGGGAGCTCAGCAGGTGGGTCGATGTTTGAGGAGGAGGCCCAGCTTGAGATGACCCGCCCCTGGGGATGACCCCCCAGAGTGGGCGGGACCCCAGCTTGGGATGACACGCCCACAGGCTGTACCGGTTGCTTGTGCCTCTCCTCAGAGGCCCATGGGTACCAGGCAACATTGGTCTAGCTCTTCATCTTGCCTGGAAGGGAAGGGAGCTCCCTCTGGCCAGGTCTGTCTGTTGGGAGGCTGATCCTGGCCCCCACCCTGCACTGGCCCGAGCCCCTCTGACGCCCTCCCCCTGGCCACGCCCCTCCCCCTACAGGTTCCAGCCCATTGGCAAGCTGACAGGCCACATTGGTCCTGTGATGTGTCTGACTGTCACCCAGACGGCCAGCCAGCACGACCTGGTGGTGACCGGCTCCAAGGACCACTACGTGAAGGTACCTGAGGCTTCTCCACTCTGGGCCTGGCTGAGACTGCTTGTGGTCTCACCTCCAGCGCTGCCTAGTGAGACTTCTGGGGACTTGTGCTGTGGGGAGCACCCCCAGAAAGCCAGAAAACATGTACCAGAAGTTGTAGAAGGCAGCTTAAAACACCCCGCAAAAACCAGGGTACTGGTGGCTCACGCCTTTAACCCTAGCTACTCAGGAGGTTAAGATCCAGAGGGTCGGAGGTCAAAGCCAGCCAGGACAGAAAAAAGCCCCAAACCTCCATCTCCAAAGTAACAAAAATCCAGGCTAGAGGCATGGCTCAAGTGGTAGAATGCCAGCCAAACCAGCAAACCAGACATGAGGCCCTGAGTTCAAGCTTGAGCAGTGTAATAAATGAATAGATAATAAATTTATTTAAGTAAGTGAACAATAAAACAACCTAAGTGTCTGAGGATAGATGGAAAATTCACTGGGAGGAATGCGAAGCAACTGCTAAAATGATAAACGGGGAAAACCAAGTTAACACAATGCTAACTGGATTTGTTCCCTGACTATGTAGTTGGAAACATAGGTGGCCAGAAACTGAAGGAGTCATATAAAAAGGAAATGGGGCTGCCTATTAGCCACTTGGAAACAGAGATGGGAGGATTTGTGTACAAGGACTACCTAAATAATAAATAAATAAGTAAATAAATAAACTAAAGCTGGGGTTTGGTGGCTCACACCTGTAATCCTAGCTACTCAGGGGGCTGAGATCTCAGAATCGCAGTTCAAAGCCAGGCCAGGAAGGAAAGTCCATGAAACTCTTATCTCCAATTCACCAGCAAAAAACCAGAAGTAGAAGTGTGGCTCAAAATCGTAGAGTGCTAGCCTTGAGCAAAATTGTTCAGGGACAGTGCCTAGGCCCCCAGTTCAAGCCCCCTGATTAGCAAAAAATAGATAGATAGATAGATAGATAGATAGATAGATAGATAGATAGATAGATAGATAGATAGATAGATAGATAGATAGATAGATAGATAGATATCTGACAGATGGCTGGCAGATAGATGATAGAAAGATAGATGGAACAAAAATGGTAGAGGGTATGACTCAAGTTGAAGACCCTGAGTTCAAATCCCAGTACTTTCCCTTCCCCCCCCCCCCCGAAAGGATAATAGAGGTGGCTAGACTGTGTTGATATTTCCACAACAGTAAAAGGATCGCCTCCCTGGGCCTGCCTGGTCTACCGTCTCCAGCTTCCCTGCCCGCCCCTCTTCCTGCAGATGTTCCAATTGGGTGACTACGTGACTGGCACCATCGGCCCCACCCACAACTTTGAGCCCCCGCACTACGACGGCATCGAGTGCCTGGCCATCCAGGGAGGCATCCTGTTCAGTGGCTCCAGGGACAACGGCATCAAGAAGTGGGACCTGGAGCAGCAGGAGCTCATCCAGGTGCGGTGGGGAGGGGAGGAGGGCCCCGGGCAGATGGCTGGCTCTCCCCTGGGCCCTGCTGTCCCCAGATACCCCCACCACCCTGCAGCCTCTGCCCAGTCCACCCCTGGCCTCAGCCTGCTCCCAGTAGAGGCTTGGCTTCCAGCCCTTGTGTGTGAAGGTGAAGATGAAGCGCTGGGCTCTCTGTAGTGCAGCCTGGCTCGTCTGAGGGCTAGAGGCCTCTGTGCCAGGCGGACTCTGAGGTTTGCAGAAACCAACTCTGGGAAGCCTGGCTGGTGCCTCTCTGCATGCAGCTACAGAGTCTGGAAGCATCTCTCCAACCCTGTCCACAGGGACATGTGTGCTCCGGGGACCCTGGGCAGGCGATCCTCCTCCTCCTCCTCCTCCTCCTCACCTCACTCCCATGATCCTCACACAGCAAATCCCCAATGCACACAAGGACTGGGTGTGTGCCCTGGCCTTCGTCCCCGGCCGCCCCATGCTGCTGAGCGCCTGCCGTGCAGGTGTCATCAAGGTGTGGAACGTGGACAACTTCACACCCATCGGCGAGATCAAGGGCCACGACAGCCCCATCAATGCCATCTGCACCAACAGCAAGCACATCTTCACGGCCTCCAGGTGAGCGCCGCGTGCAGAGGCCGCCCGAGCGCCAGGTCTCACATCACCCTCCCTGCGTGCATGGGACGGGGCGGGAGGCTTTCCCGGCAGCGTCCTCCCGGCCCGGTGGTCTGGGGGCTGCACAGAGCCGCCGGCTGCAGTGCACACCCGTCAGCTGTCCCCACGCCTCCCCTGCTCCTCCCTCAGAGGTCCCCCATCTCCACCCTGTCCTGGTAGCTCGCAGACCCCAGAGCAGCCTCCCTCTACCCCCAGACCACACACCCGCACCAGCCCCAGCTCTGCTCCCCCAGACCCCATGCCCAGGGGTGCTACTCAGACGGGTGTCTTCTTTTTCCTTCTTGTTCCGACCATGTGTCCCTTCTCTCTCTGACCCCTCCCCGTGTCTCCTGCCTCTCCTCTGCCTCTCCGCCTCTCTCCCCCCCAACAGTGACTGCCGGGTAAAGTTGTGGAATTACGTCCCTGGACTCACCCCCTGCCTTCCACGCCGAGTCTTGGCCATAAAAGGCCGCGCCACCACCCTGCCCTGACCCTCATCTCTCCCGTCTCCTCTCTCCGTCTTCCCCTCCTTCCTTTCCCCTCTCTCCATCTTCCCCCCTCTCCTTTCCCCTGTCTTTCCCCCACTTCGATCTGAGCTGCTTCTTCACGGTATGAGATTGTTTTACTCTTCCTTCCTTCTCTCCCTGCCTGTCCTCCCGAGTCCAGCCAGGCGGCCCCGCCCTCCCCTCTCCTCCTCCCAGCCTGGGGCCAAGCCCAGGGCGGGCGTGCCAGGTAGCAGAGAGCCGAGGGGAAGCATTCAGGTCTGAACAAAACCAAAGAGCAGCCACAGGAAAGCTCAAGAGGGGTGGGGGGGTCTCTCCTGTGGGGTCTCTGAGACCACAGGCCCACCCTCTGCCTAGTAGCCCCACCATGCAGTCCACCTGATTCTGCCCAGCCCCGTGGGGAAGCAGGGAATCAGTCCATCCTTTATTTCAGCCCGCCCCGCCTGGAGATCTGACCTGCCCCTCTCTGTCCTCTCTCCAGTGACCTGACAGTGAAGCTCTGGAGTGTCCGGCGGCTGCAGGCGGCCCACGCCAGGAGTTAGGTCAGCCTGCACCGTGAGGGGCAGCAGCTGTGGCCAGCTGCCCTGGGGACAGAGGGTGCAGCCCTTCTGCTTCCTGCCTCTGGGCCTTCCCACAGGATGCTGTCCCTTTGTCCCCCCCCCCCCTTTCTTGGGAGCCTCCTGGGGAGAGAGGTGGGAGGGGAAATTAAGCTGTGAAGCCAAAGGGTATTATCTCCTCTCCACACCTCTCTAGTGGCCCCCTGGCCTCCCCTCCCGGCCACACTGCCTCCTGCTGAGCCAATGCTGCCCCACCCTGTCCTCCAGGCCCTTAGCCGGGTACAGGGCGAGGCCCTCTAGGGAAGGAGAGGCTGCCCTAGCCCCATCCATGCTCCAGTAAGCTGGCGTCCCCCATATCTCCTCCTGGCCCACCTGTAGGGCCACTGCACCTGCCTCTGAGCCCAACAGGGTCGTCCTCAGGTAACCATGGAAACCAGGTGTAGGCAGCTGGGCCTTGCAGCTGATTCTGAACCCTGTGGTCACCAGCAGCTCCCAGTGGGCCTCGACCATTCCATAGCACGCTCAGTGCCACAGTGGAGCTGCTGGAAAGATTCCTTTGGGGACATGGTCAGGAATACTTCAGTTATTTAATTTATTTTTATTTTTTTACTTTTTTAATTTTTTGTGCTGGTACTGGGGCTTGAATTCAGGGCCTGGGTGCTCTCCCTGAGCTTTGTCACTCAAGGCTGATGCTCTACCACTTGAGCCACAGCTCAATTTGCAGCTTTTTTTTTTGGCTGGTTAATTGGATGGAGATAAGAATCTCATGGGACTTTCTTGCCTGGGCTGGCCTCGAATCACCATCCTCAGACCTCAGCCTCCTGAGTAACTAGGATTACAGGCGTGAGCCACTGGTGCCAGGCTTGGTTTTTTGTTTTGTTTAAATTTTATCTTTATGTTTTGCTATTGATCCTGGAAACTGACTTGAAGTTTCTTCCCACATGTTCTTTTTGTCAGCTCTTGGGGGGCCTGCTCCCCAGCTCAGTGCCACCTCCTCTGCTGTGCAGCTGGGAGCTGTCCCTCCACCCTGCAGCTCCGGCCTCTCCCCAGCTCTGCCCATGGGACCCTTCAGTGCGGCCCGGGCCTCTAGGCCGCCTCGTGCCACAGTGCCTTCCTCCGTCCCGGGGCCTGGCACCGTGCTGGGCAGCCTTAAGCCAGCCATGCCCGCCCCTCCACACGTGTCTTCTACTCAAGGGTCTCATGCCTGCTGCCTCGAAGGTGGAAGGCCACCTTTCAGCCCAGGGGAGGGAGGGGGAAGGCGGCTAGAGAGCCGATTGGGTGGGGAGACTTCCCAGCACCTCCCCCTAGCCTCCCGCCAACCATGTTTTCACCGAGAGCCTCTCCAGACTCTTCCCTGTGCGCCTTCTGGACACAGGTCTTCAAGCTGTTAAAAACCAGCCTAGGGCATAGCCTTGCCTTCTAGATGAGCAACGAGAGGAATTGGTTTTGTCTTCTGCGGGGGAGTGGGGGTATGGAGACAGCGCCCCCTGTTGGGACAACTCTGCATTTACAGGAGTGGCCTTGGGTTCTCCATCTTCACCTCCCAGCCCAGCCCAAGCCCAGCCATGCTGTTTGTCCCCTTGCTTCATTGGTCTTCTGCTTCCCCGCAGAAGCCAGGAATTCCAGTTGCATTCAGAGGACTTTGTGACTTGTGGACTTAGCAGAGCTGGCTCAGTATTTCTGTCCTCTGTGCATCCCTCTCTGTGGCCAGGGCACGCCACGCACGCCTCTGGTGTGGGAGGGTCACACTCCAGCTCACTGAGCCACCTCCTCCCCTGGACTCCCCTGGAACTGCCCCAAGGCTAAAGCTTCTGTGCTTGCTTGTTGGTGGCGGCACCTGCCAGACGCGGTGTTGCGTCTGGGTGACCCATGCACTGCACGCCACCGCTCGGATCCTGCTCTCCTGCTGTCTGGACAGTCAGCCTGGGATGGGGCAGAAACCCTTCTCCTCCCGCCCGTGACGGATCGCTGGGAGCCGGCCAGCTCTCACGAGGGACCACGTCTCCTCCCCTCCATCCGTCTGTCCGTCCCCATCACTGACGTAAAGCTTTGACTTGGACCCTGCATGACTGTTTACAAACCAAGAAACACAAGAGGCGTGTGCCCGGCCCCGGGGCAGCTGTACTGTAGCCGCAAGACTTTGGTCTTAGGGCCCCTCGAGAGGTGCTCAAGGTGCTCGTCTCCGCCCCTTTCTGCATTTCTGACGGGTCTCTACCTCACAGCAGGGCGGGCTCTGCTGTCCCAGCGCGTCATGAACTAAACTTGAAGTCCTCTGGGAGCCTGGCTGCCGCCACCCTCCTCTCCCCCCCGCCCCCCGGCCACACTGAGCGGCATTGGAGGGGACAGGAGGTACATAACCAGGCGGGGCTCCCCCTCCCCCCCCTTGCACAAGCATCTGAAGTGTTGGAAGCACAAACTGGTTGTGATGTGAGCACAATGGCAGGGCTGCAGGCAAGTGGGGTGGGCTCAGAGGCCCTTCCCGTGAGCGGGGTCCCAGGTTAGATCAGGATGCCCGTATCTGAGGGTGGGTCCTGCCCTGGCTCAGACCCCGGCTTTGTGCTTGTACTTCTGAAATTCAGCCTATGACTTCCTGTGCCATCCTAAAATGTGAGGCCCAAGCCACGCACATCTGTGTGCGGCAGGTCCTTCCTAGACCCCACACCCCTGGTCTTTAAATGCCTGGCCACAGGCAGCCAAAGCGCCTCCCAGCCTGAACACTGGGGCCCAGGTTCTCTGTCTCGTGGGCAGGGCCCCTGTGCAGCTTCCGCCTGGATGGAAGGTCCGTGTTCCATCCCCACGACCACAGAGCCTTCTCCACACAGTGCTGGGCCAGGACCCCGCTCTCAGTATTAGCCAGATCAGTGTTCCAGTGACTCACCCCTCCAGCCACCATCTGCAGAGGCAGCGCCCGGAGCCGCCTTTGGACACACCCCGTTCAAGTGGTCAGGGCGTGGCCTCTACCCACCCATCCTGCCCCAGCTGCTTTGGACCCTCAGCTGCCCGGCCCTGCTGCCCACCTGGGCTGTGTGGCTGGGACAGACAATAATTGAAAGCACAAAACCACACAGGGACAAGGCTGAGTCGCTGGGACTTCTGCCTTCCTGTGGGGACAGCCTCCTGGGAAGTCAGAACTAGTGTGTCTTCAGCCAGGCCGCTGTGGGGCTGGGCTGGGCTGGGTGGAGGGCACCTCCTCCCTGTTTGGTCAGGCCCTGCCCGTGCCCGATACGTTCCTGTGGGCAGAGCCTGCCCTGTGGGAGCGGTAAACTCCCTCCTAGCACAGGGCCCACACCTGGGCAGCTCGCCCTTTGCCCTCTGCAACAAAAAATTGCTTCCTGCTTTTTTTCCCCTGAGTACACTTCCTGGTCAGCAGTCCTGCCCTCCACGCCCCCCCCCCCCAATCTTCTCAGCCCTTTACATATAAGAAGAGTCTACAGGGAACATTCCATTTCTTTGGCATCTTTAGTCTGTCCCTATGCCTGCCCTCCCTCCATGTCTAGCCCTCAGATAGCTCCCCCGCCCCCCAGCTCCCAGCATCCCTAGAGTCCTTCAAACCTGAGTTCCAAGGGCCTTGCTAGGAAAGTGGGAAGTAGACACTGCTTGAGGAAGAGCCAAGGGTCAGAAAAGACCCTGGACATGAATTGGAATCCCGCTCTGCCCGCCCTCACCCCTGCCCGGGCTGGGTTTCATGTGGCTCACGCAGTCCTCTACGAAGTGGTAGCACAAGGTGTATATATGTTTTGTACCTCTGCGGATTGTACATAGTGTATGAAAGTTATTTAAGCTTCACGTTGTACATTTCTGTCCCTAGATTGGATGTGTGTTCTCAGTTGTCATCAATAAAACCCAAATGATCCTGTGTGTGGGGCTGCTGGTGGCAGGGCGATGTGGGCAGGGCTGGCCTCTCAGGAAGCAGCACCTGGAGAGTTGCATCCTCCACCTTCCCTGTGTGTGGCCTCCTGGGGCCGAGGCAGGTGCAGCTGCTAAAACGGAACAGAGGGCGCTGGCATTTGCTGAGCATCTGCTTTATCCCAGTTCATGGCTCTTCCTGCCTCGTGTGACAGACTATCTCATTTAATGAGATGAGGGAAGTCTCCAGCTGCAGTAACTTGTCCAGGCTCACAATTGGCAAAGGCACAACCAGGAGTTTGCCCAACTGCAGCCCCACTTTGCCTCTCACTAATGTATTTGATGCCTTCTCTCGTTCCTGGAACTCGCTGTGTGTGGTGTGTACTGGACATATTCTCTTCACTTAGAGAGAAGACAAATATAAACGGCTCATATATGAAAACACCTCTACCTTGGTTGTTTTTGGTTCTGTTGGCTTGCGTTTTGTGTGTGTGTGTGTGTGTGTGTGTGTGTGTGTGTGTGTGTGTGTGTGTGTGTGTGTGTGTAAACACTAGGGCTTGAACTCAGAAGCATTTTGCTGGTTAATTGGAGATCAAGTATCACAGACTATACTGCCCAAGCTGGCTTTGAGCCTCAGTCCTCAGATCTCCTGAGTAGCTAGGATTACAGGTGGGAGCTTCCAACACCTGGCTTGATTATGATTTTTAATGTGCATGTGCCAGCCCTGGGACTTGAACTCAGGGCCTGAGTTCTATCCCTGAACTTTGTGCTCAAAGCTAGTGCTCTACAACTTTGAGCCATAGAGCTGTTTCCAGCTTTTTAGTAGTTAGATGGTGATAAGAATCTCATTGACTTTACTGCCTTGGCTGGATTTGAACTTCAATCCTCAGCTCTGTCTCCTCCTGAGTAGCTAGTATTACAGACATAAGCCACCAGCACTGGCTTTTGGTTCTAAGTTTGATTTCTAGGTCAGTGCTTTTCGGATTTTAAAAAGCTGTATTCCACTGGGCAAATCCCCTGTGCACCAGGCCATCTGGTAGGCCTTAGGGAAGCAAGGTGTAGTGATTGGGTTTGGCTAACTGATCCTCACCCCGCACCACTCTCCCACCCCACCCTGCCTCCCACAGGACAAAGCCTTCTGTGGATTACAGAAGTGCCAACTGAGTGTGGCCAGCTGCGGCCTGGCGGGTCAGTGGAGGAAACCCGGAAGCCAGGTGCTAGTGACTCCTTCCTTACTGTGCATCCCCTCCGCCCCAACCCACCAGAAGACTGGCAGCAGAGTCTTTCTAAACTCTGAGCGCCTTGGGTCTTGAGGATACCAGCACTGTGGGGGAAGATGCAGGGTTAAGAGATTCATTTTGTGCCAGTGGCTCACGCCTGTAATCCTAGATACCCAGGAGGCTGAGATCAGAATTGAGGATCAAAGCCAGCCTGGGCAGAAAAGTCCCATGAGATGCTAATCTTCAATTAACTACCAAAACCTGGAAGGGGCACTGCGGCTCAAGTGATAGAATGCTAGCTTTGAGCAAAAAACTCAGGGACAGCACCCAGACCCTGAGTTCAAGCCCTAGGACTAACACACACACACATTCGTTTTTTCAAATTGTGGAATGTTTTCCCCAAGATTATAAATAGTATCTGCTTACTTTACAAACTAGAAAATCCTAGTACCACAAAAAAAAATAAAGAAGAAAAAAGAAAACAAGAGTCAGGAAAACTTCCATTTAGGATCAATGGGCAACTTTCCCAAACCAAGGAAATGGCCCTTCTCAGAATCTGATGAGAGTATTCATTTCCTGGGCTGGGTGGCATCTTAAAAGATCATTTTCCAACCTTCCTGTTTTATACATAAAGGAAATTGAGGCCCAGAAGAATTGGCCAAGGTCATCCTGGCCCTAAAACCCATGAGGTTATCAAAAGTGATGAGCAGAAGGTGGGCAACAGAACATTCTTGGAAGTGTGTCTTATCCCAAAGCTGTAACCTGATAACAGGCTTGGGGGGGGGGGGGGAGCAGAGGAAATGGGACTTGAATTCAGTGCTTTGCACTCTTGCTTGGTTCTTTTTCTTTTCCCTTAAGGCTGCTGCTCTACATTTAAGCCATACTTCCATTTCCAGGTTTTTGCTAGTTAATTGGAGAGAAGAATCTCTGAGACTTAGCTGCCTGGGGCTGGCTTTGAACCTTGATCCTCCAACTTCAACTAGGATTTCAAGCAGGAGCCACCACAACTTGGCCTGTTAATAGATTTTTTTTTTTTTTTAAAGATCTACTACTTATCACTGTTACCGTGAAGCAAGATTGTCCTCTGGGGGCTATGCGTGTGTTGCTGGATTGTCCTCTGGGGGCTATGTGTGTGTTGCTGGATTGTCCTCTGGGGGCTATGTGTGTGTTGCTGGATTTGCTATCAGTGAAGTATTTAGCTCGTGGCCCCTAGTGACCGCTGGTGGCAGCTGTGGTAGGAGCCGGGTACAGGTGGAGGGCTCGAATGAGCGTGGCATTCTAGTCAATGACCAGGCCGGTGTGGCCTTGAGTAACACCTTTGGCATTGTTTCCAAGCATAAGGAACTCTAGCAGCTGGGCGCAGGCAAAGATAAGGAAGAAACATGGTGGGGGTATGAGCAAGGAGGGGTACTCTATGTTTCTGAAGGCTTACAGTCAGGCTACAGAGGCCTCACAATGGACAGAGCTCTAGCCAGAACATGCTGGTCCATGGGGGAGATTATTGGGATGTTAGGCTAGAGCAGTAAATGATCCTGGACAGACAGAGACATTTCAGGGGCTACAGCCACCCAGTCCCAGATGAGACTGATTCCAACAGGGCCATGCTAGGGGTGGGAGGAGGGCAGGGAAGGGTGGTGCTGAGCTGTGCTCTTGGCACAGGAAGAGGACACTGCTGGCTCTTTGGAGCCCCAGTGCTGTCTCTCAGGCTGTGGTTTGGGCTGCACCAAAGGGTGGCCACAGTGCTGTTTTTATAGAGCAGCTCTGCCCAGGGCTACGTGGTTCCCCGAGCTCTGATCTTTCAGGAGATTATGGGAGTTGGCCAAGAACCCTTCCAAATTACTTTCCTCATTCAGCTAGCTGGATTAGACTCTGTTGCTTGTCACTAAGAACCCTTCCCCGGAAGCTGGGTGCCAGGGCTTCATGCCCGTAATCCTAGCTAGATCTGAGGAGTATGTTTCATCTACAGTTTTTTGTTTTTTGAGGAGCGTGTTTCAAAGCCAGCCTGGGCAGGAAAGTCACGAGACTCTTATCTCCAATTAACCACCAAAAGGCAAGACACTGTCTCAAAAAAGCAAAACAATACCGGACAATACAGCTGGATTCTAAATACCTCACGTGTCCAAACATCCAGCTCGTGGCTCCGGCTGACTCAAAGGAGGTCTGGCTCCCATCACAGGCTGAACAGGAGGAGGGCGCAGCAGGGAGGGAGGAGGAAGTAGCCAGCCTGACCCGGATGCTCGCTGCAGACAGAGCAGCTCGCGTGGCCAAGAACTGACATTTCCACAAAAGTGCTTGCTTTCCGTTTTATTAACAAAGCTCCGCTGTCAGTCTTAGAGCCAGGTCTCCATCTGGAATCTGGGGTGACAGGTTTAAAAGTAGCTCCTTTGGGGTCTCCTCCAGCAGAGGCCGGACCTGCGGGGCTGGGCCCGCAGCAGCTGGTCCTTGGCTTCCAGGACGTAGAGAGTCTGCCTGGTGAGGCAGCTGACCATGGGGTCCGGGTCTTTCTCCATGAGCCTTAAGGCTGTAACACAGACACACAGACACAGTTCCAGATGGAGCTGTGGACAGAGAACGAATGGGCACACGGCCCCAGCCCTGCTTCTGGGAAGGAAGAGGGGCGTGAGTGAGTCTCTTCTAGAATTCTGCTTTGTTGCAACCAAGACCCCAAAGCTGCCCCAGGCTCAGGATGAGGCGAGGCCGCTGCTCTGCATCCTGCAGCCCTCGCGCACGCCTCGGTCTTCCCGTCTCCCCCCACCGCCCCCCCCCCCCAGCTCTGCCTCCTCCTCCAGGAGAAAAGCTCTGAAAAAACCCGCCAGGACAAGCGACCACCAGGACAAGTGACTGGGACGACAAGTGACCGGCAGGCGCAGAGCCACACCGGGAGCCACCGAGCCAGGGACACGTGTGGAAAGTCGGCGTGAGGGGAAGGAGGGCGTGTGAAGGACGCATCCGAGAGGGACCGGGACAGCATGAGCCGCCTGTGCTCTCCGGAGGGGCGAGGCAGGAACCCCGGGGCCCCCCAGTGAAGACGGTGGTGGTCTCTCCAAGGAAGAGCTGCACCTCCCTGGCTGACAAGGGCAGTGAGGGTGCAGAATGAATATGGGCCCAGACCAACACCCCAAAACCTAAGCGCCTTGGGGATGAGCTTTCTCTTCCCTCCTTCTGGAGTGACTGTCTCTGCGCATCACCCTGCCTCCTTCCCCTGGCTCCCGGCTTCGTGCCGACGCGGGCGCCCTCAGCAAGGCAAGCAGGGGGGACGGGAGCTCTACTCACAGGAATACTCTTCCTCGATCTCATCCACCTCTTCCTGGTTGAGGACCTGGATGATCTGGCCTGCGCGGGGTCACACAGAGGCCCCTCAGTCCCCCCTCCAAATCCCAGGGCCCCCGGCTGCAAGTGCTCTCCAGCGCCTCACTGTTCACACATCCTCCCTCTGTCTGTCCATCCATCCCTCCTTTGGCCACCAGCCTCAGGTCTGGACTCCCCCTTCCCCTAGAAAGTCAAAATTGCTTCCCTTGGTTCCCTGCAGGCCCGTGGGGTGGAGGGAGGCAGGTCCCCGGGTCCCCTCCCCACAGCAGCACCCTCAGCCCTGATGCTCCACCCTTCGGGAGCCCCCTGGCCCTGGAACCAAACCCAGAGGTTCAGTGCAGGAGCAGGGAGCAGGGGGAGGCAGTCCAGCAGGACCCCCATGCATCCCATAATCAGTCCTCCTACACCAGGTCCCTGGCCTGTTCAGAGAACCCTGCTCAAGGACAGCCTGGTCCCAAGCAGCCAGAGGCCATACCTGCAAACCACACAGCTATCAGGCGGATGGGGGTCTGGGGGCTCTTGAAGAGAACTATGCACTGCTTCAGAAACCAGGGGGCTTTGTTTGTCTCCTGCTGCAGCTGTGAGAAGAGGTGGTAGGTGGCAGCAAGGGCAAGTTGCCAGGCCTCCCGCCCTTCCAGCCATCTTGACGCTAAACTTCAATGATCTTCTGAGTATTAAAAAAAAATCTTTCACTAACCTTTTACGTCTCCACCCCTTGTGCTCTGGCACCTGCCATCTTCTTCCCCCATGAAGCCTTCCTGGATTGCCCAGGCCACTGGCATCCCCATGTGTACAAAGCCCAATACCACCATACGGGCTTGATCCACAGCCCTGCTTCAGCCCGGCCTTACCTGGCTCTGCTCTCTTGGTCCCTTCTCTCTGTCCAAGCATTACCCTGCCTACTCCTTGGTGGGGGTGCCCACCCTCAACACACGGGCACGAGGGCCACTTGGCTGCTGGCTTACCAGGGCTCTGAGGATGGTAAACACATCGTGGTTGACAAAGACTGCTTTGAGCCTAGACCAGCCCAGGATGGTGGCTGTCTTGTAGAGGCTGTACTGGCAGATCTGGGGAAACAAGAGGCTCCACATGAGGGACACAGGGAGGGGGGCTGACCATCTCTGAGGTCAGAGTCTAACAGGTTTCTTCAGTGTCATGCGGAGTGAGCCCCCAGTTTACCTGCTAGGCCTTGACCTCCCACAACACCTGGGGCCAACCTCGGCCCCTCGGCCTGGCCTCTCACCTGGCGCACCTCCATGTTCTCGTCCTTCATGTGTAGCACCAGGAGGACTATCAAGTTGAGGAACTGGTGCCTCAGGGGGAAGATGAGGACATTCCTCTTGGTCTTGGTCAGGAGACTTGCATAAATCTGGAAGGCCTTCAAGCGCAGAGGCTGGGACTCCTGGGTGGAAAGGACACTTCTTCCCCAGTGTCCCAGGCTATGAGGATGAGAAGCCCTCTGGCAAAGCCCCGCCCACGCCCTCATCACCCAGCCCCCAGGGGAGACTTCACCGCCTCAAAGAAGGTGGACAGCATGAAGGCCAGCTGAGTGAGGAAGGAAGAGGAGTACTGCCACTTGAGGTCCTGCAGGAGGCGCTGCAGCGTCAGGAAGGTCTCCATCACAATGTCAGGGTTGGAGGAGTAGCAGCAGTTGAGCACGTGGGGCTGCAGGATGCCCAGCCGTCGCAGCTGTGGAGGGAGCGAGTCCCGAAACCATTCCCGCTGGCCGCTCCCACTGCAGGCCAGTCCCTCACAGGCTCTTGCATGCCTGACCTGGGACCGGACAGCCAGTGAGTGGTAGATTGAGGGTCGTCTCCTTCTACCAGCAGCCATCCTGTCACAGGAGAGCACTCGGGCAGGTGCTTTTTGTCCCTCGTAAGGAGACATTCCAGAGGAGGCCCCACTTCCACTACATCCTGTTCCCCTCCCCCTGCCTTCCTTGTCCCTGATGATGATCCCAATCTCCAGGGACCTGTAGGAAACATCTGGGATCCTGGGATTGGCTGAGTTAATCTCTCAAGTGGTCCACAGAACAACTCTCCCAAGGAGTTAAATACAACTCCTATAAGGAGTTAAGTATGAATGGCTCCACCCCCATCCTGTCCCTGGGGACTATAAGGATTTGCTTTCAATTCCAAGAGTGTGTTCCACTCCGTCTACAACTGCACCTAACATCTCCTGAGGGCGAGCATGGCCTTGGCCCCTGCCCCACTTACCAAGTTCTTGTGCTTCGCGAAGGTCTCCGTCACCTGCAGCAGGACTTTCACTGTGGCGAGCTCCTCGCTCTTGAACCAGCTTGCCAGAATATGGGTGGCAATGTCATCCACATTGGAGCTCACATCCGGGCAGTGGAGCAGCTGCAAGAAGCCAAGAAAGACTGAAAGGCGGGCAAAGAGAACACAACTTGGAATCTAGATTTCTTCTTATTAGATTTGGAAGTATTATTAGAAAGGCCAAAGCTTAGTTAAAAGGCCAATTAATAGCCAAGTGCCAGTGGCTCACTGCTGAAATTCTGGCTACACAGAAGGCTGAGATTTGAGGATTGTGGTTCAAAACCAGTTCAGACAAGAAAGTCTATGAGATTCTAATCTGCAATTAAACCACCCAAAAGTCAGAAATGGAGCTGTGGCTCAAAGGATAGAATGGCAGCCTTGAGCAAAAGAGCAAAAAGATATCACTCAGGCCCTGAGTTCAAGCTCGAGTACTGGTACAAAAAAAAAATCCAGGCCTTGGTTGTGGTGGTAGCCATGCACAGATGATCAGAAATGTGTGTTGATTCATTTAGGAAAAGCTTATCAAGGAGGTGGAACAGGGAATTGAAAAACGGAATTTTCATGAGTATCTAGGCGTGTGTGTGTGTGTGTGTGTGTGTGTGTGTGTGTGTGTGTTGGTCCTGGGGCTTAAACTCAGGGCCTGAGTGCTGTCCCCGTATGCTTTTGCTCAAAGCTAGCACTCTACCACTTGAGCCACAGCTTCATTTCTGGTTTTCTGGAGGTAACTTAGAGATATGAGTCTCAAGGACTTTCCTGTCCAGGCTGGTTTCCAACTGTGATTCTCAGATCTCAGCCTCCTGAGTAGCTAGGATTAAGGTGTGAGCCATCGGTACCCAGCAACATAACAGTTTTATAACCTCTTACATTTTCCCCCCATATTTTCTAAATCTTCTACACATTGTGTTTCCTGGAAAATGACTGAATTCTACTGAGTTACTCAGGGATGATGATCAAAGATTAGTTTTCAAAGGTCAGTCGGGGCTGAAGTGGCTGAAAGGCAGAGCTGTGTTGCTCCAGAAAGTCTGTCAGGGTAAAACTGCCTTGAAAGTCAAGAAAGAACCAGCCAGGTGCCGGTGGCTCACGCCTGTCATCCTAGCTACTCAGGAGGCTGAGATCTGAGGATCGTGGTTCAAAGCCAGCCTGGGAAGCGAAGTCCGTGAGATTCTTATCTCCAATGAACCACCAGAAAACTGGAAGTGGCGCTGTGGCTCAAATGGTAGAGTGCTCGCCTTGAGCTGAAGAGCTGAGGGACAGCGCCCAGGCCAGAGTTCAAGCCCCATGACCAACAACAACAACAACAAAAAAAAAAAACAAAGAGAAAGAAAGAAAGGAAGGAAGGAAGAAAGAAGCAATGCCTCTAACTGAAGGAAACAGAATGATGTGCCATCAGAATGTCCCCTAGAACTTCAGTGAGGCCAGGACAGGACCAGGCCACCGCTGTCCCCAGTGGTCCTCCCTGGAGGAAGCCTCCCAGAGGACCATCTTCATTGCCCTCTCCTCCCACCCTGCCCCAGGCACCTCTGCCAGCAGCACCAAGGCTGTCACGTGACTGGTACAGTCCAGATCCTGGAGGGTCCTGATGAGGAGGCTGAAGATGGGGCGGTTGTGCCAGCAGTTCTTGACCACCAGGGATCTGTAGACACATGGAGCTCAGGATGAGGCCCAGGCTACAGGACTGGACCAAGAACACAGACGGTTCTCTAGCCAGGGACTTCACAGTCACAGCCCACCTGGCCAGCAGAGTGACTCCTTCGTAGTGGGTTTCAGGATCCATAAGCCGCTCCCAACCTCCAAGCTCCTGGATGTAAACCACGTGGTCCCCGTACCCTGAACTGCTTATCAAGGTCTTCAGGGTGTCTGTGGAAAAACTGGGGAAGGAACAAAAGGCAGGTGGGAAGTCAGCCTCTCCCTGTGCTCCTCATCCTCCTGGCCTCCTGTGAACCATGAACTGCAACCTGTTAGGACAGCCCTTACCCCCAAGACTACATCTGCCAGATAAGAGTGTGGAGACCCTATGGGGTCTTCAGGTAATGCAGATCTGGGGGCAGGTGGGGGAGGGGGAGAAGGATAGAATTCAGGCCTGTGGGCCCAGAAATCTTTTTATTTCACTTTGGTCCTGACTCTCTGCATCAGCCTAGTGAGCCAGCTTTTTAAGTCTGTTCTGAAGAGTCCAGTGCACCCGGTGATGACGTGTGAGTGACATGGTAGGGGCGAGTGTGTGTGTGAAAAAGTGGGCTGTGTCCAGGAGGCAGCACATGACAGTGCTGGCCAAGGCCCAGTGTACCTGATGGGGTTCACCCACTTCGTTTCGTAGGGTTGATCTTCCATTGCTTCGGCCCTCCCTTCGAACACAAGAAAGGAGATCCGGAACAGCAGTGCTAGGAAGAGGGACGAGAAGAAAGTCTGCACCTCCAGGCGCCGGCTGGGCTCCAGCAGCAGCTCGTGGACGGCCCTGGTGGCCTGGAGGAGGAGAGAGAGGATGCCATCACCTCCCTGTCACCAGGAAGTCCCTTCATGCAGGCAATCTTGAGGATGGGCTTGGCTTGCTCAGTGAACCCCATGGCGCTCATCGCTCATAAGGCGTTTTCTGGGTGAGACCCAGAACACAGCCCTCAGCCCAACCCCAAGACTCTGCCATTAAAATGTGCCATCCAACAGCCACAGCCAAAAGGTAAAGGTCCTCAGAGCTCAAGACAGCCAAGCACAAGGGGTCACCTTGCCAGCCCCCAGCCCCTCTGCCAGCCCTCGTACAATGAGCGGGGAGAGCTCTGGCCTGCGGCCAGACTCCTCTTCCACAGGTGGCTTCAGCCTCTGCAGCAGATGCTCCAGGATCAGCTCGTAGTCTTTGGGGAAGGATGCTAGGATTTCCCAAGGCTGGCGCACTCCTCTGCAGAGCCAGAACAGCTAGGTTAGACCAGAGATGCACACACTACTGGTGCCATAATGCTTTGGGGAAGGGCTCTGGCTCCTTCGCCCAAGCCTCCAGTAGTACAGCGCCCGGCTTGCTTCCTCCTAGCTCATCATCTCCCTTCATGGTCCTCTGTCCTTTCCTCCCATTCACCTTCACATCACAGCAGCCCTCCCCTCTTTGCTAACTTGTGTATAGATAAATCAGAAGATTTTCCCCTGGCCTGCAAGCCTGAATTAAGAAAACATCTGAGACCAAAGCTTATTAACCACATTTAAGTGCACCTGCTCAAGTCCTTGCTCAAGTCCCAGCCCTGGAGTTCTCTCCAAGCTTTCCTTACCAACCTATGCACGCGCGCACACGTGCGCGCGCACACACACACACACACACACACACACACACACACGCACACAAGCACACAAGCACAAGCCCCATGCAGGACCACCACACAGGCCAAGTCTGAAGATTTTCTAGCCTCAACCCATATGACTTTTTCTTTTCTTTTAAAATTTTTGCCTGGCAGATCTCACCATATCTAGTCCTGGCAACACCATACACAACTGCTCATTCATTTCTACAAAATAGCATAGCAAAATTTGAAGCAATTCTGTTTAATATCCTCTAAAAGTCATGGCCATGTCTGTGTGTGTGTGTATGCATGTGTGTGTGCACATGCTTGTGCTCAGTCCTGGGGCTTGAACTTAGGTCCTGGGTACTGCTCTCTACCTCTTGAGCCACAGCTCTACTTCTAGTCTTTTTTGCTGGTTAACTGGAGATAAGAGTCCCATGGACTTTCCTGCCCAAGCTGGCTTTGCACTATAATCCTTAAATGTCAACCTCCTGAGTAGCCAGGATTACAGGAGTGAGGTGCCAGTACTCACCAAAGTAACTTTTAAAAAATTAACAAAAAGAAACTATAGTAGTACAGCCACACAATGTAATATCAGGAAGCCTTAAAATTATACTTACAAAAGGGTTTTAACAAAAGGGAAATGCCATACAATGTTAAATAAAAAAAACATACAAATTGGCAAACTATAGTCTTGACTATGTATTTTGTAACACTCTGTTAAGAGGTGGGAAAAGGGCTGGGAAGATGGCTTAATGGTAGAGCGCTTGCCTTGCATGCCTGAGGTCCTGGGTTCAATTCCTCAGCACCACATAAGCAAAAAGAAAGAAGCCGGAAGTGGCGCTGTGGCTCAAGTGGTAGAGCGCTAGCCTTGAGCTGAAGAGCTGAGGGACAGTGCCCAGGCCCAGAGTTCAGGCCCCATGACTGGACCAAAAAAAAAAAAAAGAGGTGGAAAAAATACAAATGATTCCCAAGTGACAGCAGAAGGTGCATTGAGTGGAACTTGATTTTTTTGTTGTTTTGCTTTTTCTAAACTTAACATGCTTTCCAATTATTTTTTCTGCAATAAGTCATGCTACTCTTAAAATCACTGCCCTCGGGCTGGGAAGGCGGCTCAGCGGTAGAGTGCTTGCCTTGCATGCATGAGGCCCTGGGTTCGATTCCTCAGCACCACGTAAGCAGAAAAATCCAGAAGTGGCACTGTGGCTCAAGTGCTAGAACACTAGCCTTGAGCCTTGAGCTGAGGGACAGTGCCCAGGCCAACCGACCAAAAAAAAAAAAAAAAAAAAAAAATTACTGCCCTCCAAGTAAGTAACAAATTATTAAAAATTAAATAGATGGGGGCTGGGAAAGTGGCTCAGTGGTAGAGTGCTTGCCTTGAATGCATGAGATTCTGGGTTTGATTCCTCAGCACCACATAAGCAGAAAAATCCGGAAGTGGCTCAAGGGGTAGAACGCTAGCCTTGAGCTGAAGAACTGAGAGACAACGCCCAGGCCCAGGGTTCAGGCCCCACGACCAACCAAAAAAAAAAAAGAAGAAATTAAACAGATGCTAGATGCTGGTGGCTTATGCCTGTAATCTGAGCTCCTCTGCTACTTAGGAAACACAGGTCTTGAGGAACATAGTTCAAAGCTAGCCTGGGCAGAAAAGTTCATGAAATTACATCTCTAACATAATCAGCAAAATAAAAACCAGGGATGGAGGTATGGCTCAAGTGGTAGAACACCAGCCAAGCAAGCAAGCCAAGCAAGTGCAAGCTCCAAGTTTAAACCCCAATACCACCCCCTCCAAACAAACTGAATCCATTTTCAGAATAAGCAAGTCAAAGGGCCATTGGGGTTCAAGGCCTGCAGCCGGCAGTGCCTTACTTCTGTGACTGATCTTCTATCTTAATCAGCGTCAGGATGACTTCATCAGTGTAGGACTGGGCGAACATGTGAAAGATCTTCTTTATGGCATTCAGGGATGTGATCTCTGTGATGTTGCTCATGTGGTAGTAAATATACTGGATGATCTCTGGCACCTGAAATGAGAAAGAGAAAGGCTCTTTCACTCTTCTTGAGGCCAGCTCCTCAGACACCCACTTGATCAATGGGGCTGCCCACAATGCTTGCAGAGACTCTGTCCTACTGCACTCTGTCCTGGTCAGACACTCCCATGGCACTTAGGTCCCCATACTTTCAGAGGGGCAAATAGAAAACAAGTACAGTGGCTTATGCCTGCAACCTTAGCTACTTGGAAGGCTAAGACTGGGGAACTGAGGTTTAGAGGGACCCTGGACAAAAAGACCCCCATCTCAACAGAAATAAAAGTAGTAGCATGCATCTGTCATCCCAGCGATGACATAAATAGGAAACATAAATAGGAAGGCTGTGGTCCAGAACTCAAGACTATGTCAAAAAAATAACTAGAGTGCAAAGGGTCGGAGGAGAGGCTTGTGTGGTAGACTGCCTGCCTAGAAGTGAAAGGTCCTAAGTCAAACCCAAGTACTGTCAAAACTCTCCCAGTCAGACCTGAGTACTGCCCACACTCCCCCAAACAAGAGCAAGAAATAAAGCACATTCAAGGGGGAATGACTGGACTGTGTCTGGACACCACATCATGAGCGACTTGGAGGAAGGACACAGTCCTTGCTGTTTACTGGTGTATGGACCAGAGACAGCCTCGTGGACCTCGTGGCTCCTAAAGTCACATTTCCTGGATTTGAATTTCACCTCTCAGTGAACTCACTGTGTGACCTCTGAAAAGGGTTCATGTGTATGTGTGTGTGCGCATGTATATGTGTGTGTGTGTGTGTGTGTGTGTGTGTGTGTGTGTGTGTGTGTGTCCATATTGGGGCTTGAGCTCAGGGTCCAGACACTCTCTCTTAGTTATTTTGCTCAAAGATGGCACTCTACTACACCCTCCACATCTGGCATTTTACTGGTTAATTGAGACAAGACTTTCTCTGATTTGTCTAATGTGATCCTCAAATCTCAGGCTCCTGAGTAGTTAGCGGTACAGGTATGAGCCACTTGTGTCCAGCTAATATATATAATTTTTGTTAGTTCAAAATGCATTATTTTGTAAGTGAATCACAAGTAAAATGAGCGGTGGGTTCAAATAATGAGGTCCTCCATGTTGCTTCTGGCAGAGTTTGGCTGCCTATGGGCCAGAGATGGCTTTAGGAGGGATCCCAAGCCTCAGGTAAGAAGTGGAGTTTGGGGCCTTGAGGACCCCTTCAACTCTAAGAGCCTGTCACCAGCTGTCTGCTTGAGTCAGAGCGCCATCAGCTGCATGGCTTGCAGGCCACTGAGGTGCAAAAGGTCAGATCTGGAATGCAGCAGCACCTACGCAGAGACGCCACAAGCACATGGGGCAGTGAATGCGGCCATCAGTCCCCAGGATCTTTTACAATGATTTCATGAAGAGAACAGGTGAGACATTATGCTGTCTTAATTGTCCTGAGGGCCAATTCCATCTCTGATAGATAGAGTATCTGTGCATTATTTTACTAGGTCAGTGACTTCATAAGTGTACACACACATAAACACAGATACACAGCTTTTAACTTTATGACAGTCCCAAAGCAATACATATTCAGTAGAAGCCATTCCTGAAAGTGTGAATTTTCTTATGTCCTTTTTAAAAAGAATCCTTGGGCGTTGGCTGAGAGCAGAAGGCCCAGTCACAATGGACCACAGGGGAAACTCTGAGACTTTACAGTGTAGTGCTGCTAAGTGGGAAGTGGGGAGACTGGGTCTATTAAATGCCTTTTTCACATCCGGCATTTCCGCTTCACAATGGATGTGTTGGGACATTATGCCATCATTAGTAGAGAAGCATTTGTCTATGCCTATTTCTATTTCTTCTGCTTCTGTTATATGTCTCATTTCTGTTTCTGTATCTTCCACCTTCACATCCACCTCTGTCGCCCACTGTGCCTTTGCCTCCTGAGGGTACTACGTGCCTAACTTATGTGCACTTCCTGGGAGCTGACAGGATGTCAGGAATCTCTCCTGGTCCTGGGAGCTCACGGCAATCTGCTAGAACTGGGACTCGGTTCTTCCCTTCCTGCTACAGATGGAAGCTGGATGACCGCCCCATCCTCCACCTCACCCTCTCCATGAAAACGCCTCTGCACGATTGCAGAAGCTCATCACTTCGCTTTTTCCTCTGCACGAAAACACTGGAATGCCTTAAACTCAGGTAAGAAATAAAACAGAATTAGACTTAAAAATGAAAAAGCCAGGCACCGGTGGCTCACGCCTGTAATCCTAGCTACACAGGAGGCTGACATTGCAGAGCAAAGCCAGCTCAGGCAGGAAAGTCCACGAGACTCTTATCTCCAACTAACTACCAGGAAACAAGAAGTGGCCCTGTGACTCAAGTGGTAGAGTGCTAGCTAACCTTGAACAGGCCCTAAGTTCAAGACCCACAACTGAAAGGAAAAAAAAAATCCAGAAGAATCTTGAGCAGATTTTGGGGGAGAGCCCCGGGGAGACTACCTTTCCGATTTCTGGGATCGTGTGTTTCAGGAGGACCTTAAACACTTTGGAGGCCGCCCGGGTATCCTGGATGTCGGTACTTGCCATGGCTTCTATAGCCACGATGATCACATCAGCTCTCTCCGAAGGGGTCAAGTACTTCCTGAAGAACTGAAGAAGAGAAGAACTGTCATGCCAGGGTCAGCATGCCACCCTGGGACTCAGGCCCTGGTCAGCCCCTGCCTGTTCTGAAGTCCCCAGGAGGGATCCGTGGGGTACAGAGGACAGTGGCAAAGGTGTTTCTATTTTCAACTCGGTGTGCCAGTAGACGCGTCCATTGGCAATGAGTTCAGGTATCTAGGGAGTTTACATCCTTCCAAAGCAAGGAGAACTGCCATCTTGGACAGCAGATGTCCCTGTGTCCTACGTGAGGCTTGAGCACTCAATGACACGGGTGACCACTTGGTGCCTGGTTGTGTTGCTGAGAGCTGGGAAAGACTGTGAGCAAGATGCCTGGCACAAAGGCCAGGAACTCAGTCCCACTACTGGAGCCTTCAGGGAGACCTGGGCCAGGTGGGAAAGGAGAATGGAGGCAAGCTAAGACAGGACAGTTACAGCAGGTACCAAGCCACCCAAGGCCTGGGGTGCCACGAGGCAGTTCAGACTTGAGAATAAAGACAATGGCGACTCGGTGCTCTGGAGAGGGGAGGGGGCATCACAATGAGGTTTGTACTTTATTTTTTATGCCACTCCTGGTGCTTGAACTCAAGGCCTTGGTGCTGTCCCTGAGCTTTTTTTTTTTGCTCCAGGCTAGCGCTCTACCACTTGAGCCACAACTCTACTTCTGGCTCTTTGGTTGTTAATTAGAAATAAGAGTCTCACAGACTTTTCTGCCCAGGCTGGCTTTGAATCATGATCCTCAGATCTCAGCCTCCTGAGTAGCTAGCTAGGACTATACGAGTGCAACACCAGAGCCCAACTCAGTAGTTTAGAAATAGTTTTTTGTCATGTCGAAAATGGTGTGACAGGAGCATGGATGGAAACAGGACTATCTGTGGGTGAGAAGCCATAGCAAGCTCCCATACTAGCAAGGGACGATGGTGGACTGAATCACAATAGCCAGGATCGGCTGTGCAGGGCAGACTTAGGAGGCAGAGTGGACAGACATGGTATTCAACTAGATGTCAGGAAGGGAGGGAGAGGAAAGGTCAAAGGCTGACTCCTAGCAAGAGTGGTTTTGGCAGCCTGAGCCTGGGACACCATACTTAACGTATCCCATACACCATTGCTAAATGGATATGCTTAGAGGTAGGCCATGGCTAAAAGTGCAAAGGCACGATCTGCAAATGAAGAATACAGTTGACTACACTTCATTCCAAAAGCCTCAGGACATCAAACTTCAATCAAGTACAACCCACTGTGTGAGGCCTTGAACTCTGGGGGATTACAACCCTAGAGGCCCCACACAAACTGCAATTTCTCCTCTCCCGTGCCCTCCCGGTTCCCTGGCGCATGGCGCACAGTGGCAGGAGAGTTACCAGTGCAAGGTCCTGCATGCTGAAGAGCCACTGTCTGCGGAAATGTTTCTGTAAGTCCTTCAGGATCTCTTCTATCTTCGCTTTTACACCTCCAATCCAAAAATGGCAATTAAGGGGCAAGGCCTTAGCAGGGATGAGGAACACACACTACCCTGGCTCATCACCAAGCCTCAGAGAGACCCAAAGAGTCAAATGGATGAAATAACATTAGCCCACCAGAATGGAGAGTTAACTAGAACTAACCAGCATCCTGTACCATGTCCAAATGTAGACTAACCCCATCACCATATCCCTATTGAACCTCTACAAGCCAGAGCCTCAGAAACTTCCTTTGGGAGGTATTTGCAAATTCTCCCTGGCCCCCTGTGGATGTAGTTGAATGGATATTTGGTTTTCCCAGAATGGAGAGGGACTAGCTCAAGGATTAGGTTTGTTCCCTAAGAAAGGATGCTCCTGTCTCCTAGGCCTAGCAATAAGGACGGGACAGCTGATTGGCACTGTTGATCCTGTTGGTGGCTGTAAGGTTTTGATTTTGGGGGTTGTTACTGTTGTTTCTGCCAGTACTGGGCACTGTCCCTTAGCGTTTTGGCTCAAAGCCAGCAGTTCATTGGACTTCCTGTCCAGGCTGCTTTGAACTGTAATCCCCAGATCTCAGTTTGCTGAATAGTTACGATTATAGGTGCAAGCCACCAGCACCCAGTTTGCAAATTCTCTCCCCACCCCCAACTCCACCCAAGAATCTCTTGGTTCAGCAATGGGTTTGGGAACTCATCCAGGTAATTCTCCAACCTACTTGTAATTGATCATTGTTCTTCCCAGTTCTGGGCATCTATGCCCACATCAGAGGGCATGGTCCTTTGGGATGTGTCTGGCACAATGTGGCATCTAATGCACACAGTACTCACTTGCTCCTGCTATTCAGTGAAGGGGCGCTCAGGTTTGAACACTTACTTCTCTGAAGCACAAGGATTTTGAACAAGTAATGCAAGGCCTCTGATGCCTCCATGCTGACCTCATGGTTCGAGTGCACGCTGAGGAGACCCAAGATGCCCATCAATTTCCCAGTCATGGAGAAAAGCGACATGTGCTGCCAAGGAGAGGAAGGAAATGGTGACTTCTCCACCATCCTGAAAGAACTTTCTCCCTACTGCTCCCTCCACCAATCTCTCCTCTCCTCTACATTACGAAATCATTTGCCTCCCCTCCCTAGCTTCATATTCCTTCTTGCTCCCAAGAAAGTCTTAATAAGTACTCAGGACCGGGGGCGGCCAGAGCCCTGAGACAAAGCAGCCATTGGGCAGTTGGACCCCTAGCACAGACTAGGACCTCCAAGGCTGAGAGGTATGTGCTAACTGGAAGTCATTAGACATAGGACAAACCAAACAGAGGAATTAAGCCTCTTGTCCCAAAGGAATAGCAAAAACACGACAAGAGATGCTCTAGTCCCTCGCCCTCTGGCAGCCTGCAGATCCTCTTTCTCCTCAGGGGCCCAGGTTCAGAGAAGCAGGGCTCTGTGGGGCCAGCCTCACCCCTTCCCCGAGTGCTTACCAACAGTTCAGAAAAATTGCAGATGAACCTCAACAAGCGGGACATGGTGCCCAAGGCCCGGTTCTGCTCGTATTTTTTTTCTGACAGGGTTACCCAAGGCAGGATGATCTGGATGAGAAGAAAGATGCCCATCAGTACTCTGCGTGGCATGACCCTGCCTGCCTTCCCTTGATTCTGCATCTCTGACCACCGAGAACATAAACAGGAGGGACACTGGTAAGCTTGGTGAAGCTAGGGCGGGTTGAAGAGTCTGAGTTGAAGGATGGGTTTAAAGACAGAGCTGCACCTTTGAGGTAGAATTGCAAAGCAGAAGGCAAGGAGGATAGGAGGAGGTGGAAAATGGCCCTCTCTTGATGGCCTGCTTATACCAACCTATCTGCTCTGCCAGGGGCAGTGGTGAAGTGCCACAGGCAGGCAATCTGGCCACCGTAGGTAGATAACAACTTGCTCTATCTTCCTGACAAGACTGGGAAACAGTCCCCTTAGGTGGGAGGGCCTGAGTCCTGCTTGATGTAAATTGTTGAAAAGTGTCCCAATCACACCACAGCCGTACAACAGCAATGAGGCCTTTCTCCTCATCATGAGGACATGCATGTGTGAAAGAAAGAAAGTGAAGAAAAGGAAAGGAAAGAGAGAGAGAGAGAGGAGGGAGGAAAGGAAGGAAGATAGAAAGGGAGGGAAGGAGATAGAAAGAGAGAAAAAGAGGGAGGGAGGGGGAAAAGGAAGGGAAAGGAAGGAAATAAATCTCCACCCATATCTGACATCCAATACTAAGATTAATTCAGAGTTGATCATTTTCACTTAAAACCTAAAATTACAAGCTTATTGAGGAAAACATGAGAAAATACTTGAGACCTTCAGTAAAGCAAATGTGTATTAGATAAGACTGCATAATTACAACCATAAAGGAAAATAATCCTAATTTGCACTTCATCAAAGTGAATATTGCTGTTCTTCAAAAGACACATCTAAAAGAAAAGGCAAGCAGCAAAATGGCTTATAAAGAGCTTTTGAAACTCAAAAAAGAAAGAAAAAGAGATTAGAGGGCTGAGAACGTGGCTTAGTGGCAGAGTACTTGCCTAGTATGCATGAAGCCCTGGGTTCGATTCCTCAGTACCACATAAACAGAAAAGGCTGGATGTGGCGCTGTGGCTCAAGTGTTTGTGTGCTATTCTTGAGCAAAAGAAGCTCAGGAACAGTGCCCAGGCCCTGAGTTCAAGCACCAGGACTGACTGGCAAAAAACAAAAAGTCTTAAGGACTTCCCTGCCTGTGGTTACTTCAAACTATGAAAATCTCAGCCTCCTGAGTAGTAAGGATTACAGGCATGAGCCACCAGGGCCCAGAACATGCAATGTTTCATGCAAAATTATATTGCCCTAATTGATGACTAGCCTATCCACAAAAGTTGGTTTCAAGGGACTCTTGGCTTTTCCCCCAATTTGGTCCTCCTCAGGGGATGGCAATTGTCATAACTAAGAATTATTTGAAAAAAGATAAAGATAATTAAAGAAGGGGTAGCATTGATTAAGATGCATTGTACTTATAACCTGAAATATGGAAGTATAATCTATTTGTACAGCTACTTATTAATAAAATAAAAAATAAATGTTCTGCAATTATTTGAGCTTCCTAGGTACTCCAAGGAATAGAAATGTAGGCTGGCAGGGTGCTGTTAGCTCACACCTGTAAGCCTAACTATTCAGGAGTCTGAGATCTGAGGATCATAATTTGAAGCCAGCCTGGGCAGATAAATCTGAGAGATCTTTCTCTCCACTTAACCAGAAAAATGCCAGATGTAGAGATGTGGCTCAAATGGTAGAGAACCAGCCTTGAGCAAAAAAGCTAAGCAAGAGTACAAAGCTGTGAGTTCAAGCCCTAGTACTGGCACAAATAAAATAAAATAAAACAAAAAACAAACAAAAAAAGTATATAAAGCTGGATAGGTGACTACGGAGATGTTCATCATAGAGTAGTAACAGGCACTTCACTGGGAGAAATCTTGAAGAAGATTAAAGTCCAGCATGGATATACATATCATTTATATTAACATACATATTGATTTATAAATTAATCATATTCAGAATTATCAATCATATTTATAAGTCGATCACATATTAGTTTGCTTTCATATAATTAATATTAATAACTATAAATGCTGATGTTTATATAAATATTATTTAGATTATTTATCTATTTTTATGTCCACATGGTATGAAGGCCCCAAAGCATCCAAGTTCTGGATGGAAATAGGTCCTTGGTCTGATGGCTGCCGTTCTGCCACACTCAAGAGACTTCGGGAGACATAGAATTCGTCCTCCGGCAATGCTTATGCTTGCAAGCTGAGGTTTGAGAGCTAGGGTGACACCCACTATGTCAACAGACGTCCTTCCCTTCCTCCCGAACATACAGTGCAAGCAACCACAGAGGATTTGGGGTTCCCTGGTTTCTCCACCCGTTTTACCTCCAGGAAGTTTTGCAGTATGAGCATGTTGGGGTTCATATCTTCCATCACAAGTGCTTGTAACATGTCATCCAGGGCCTGGGTGGTCTGAAAGGTGAGGAGATATGAGGTGTTATAGGAGGCTCGGCTCCTTAGGGGTGCTGGTGCTCCCTCTATCCCCAGCACCCTACCTAGCCCAGCTCTGCCACACACACACACACACACACACACCACCACCACCACCACCACCACCACCACCACCACCACACCACACCACATCTTGCCATGAGCCAGCCATACTCTGGTCTTCTCCCAGGCTTGATCTTTTGTGGCCTCACTGAAGGCTGGATCAAGCCTAAATTGACTTATGATGATAAAATAATGACTCGTAGGCAGTGAGCCGTTCTCTCCATACAAAGACAGCTCCCATGGGATTCTCATCTTTAGAAAATCATTCTGCCAAACTTGGGGGATGGGGTAGTTGTGTGTGTGTGTGTGTGTGTGTGTGTTTTGTAGTTCTGGAGATCTCACCTCAGGGCCTTGAACATGCTAGGGTAGTGCTTTGCCACTGCCTGCAGCCAAGCCCAAGAGATATTCCTAATTTTCATTTTCTTGGTTGGTCATGGGGCTTGAACTCAGGGCTTGGGCACTGTTGTTGAGCTCCTTTGCTCAAGGCTAGTGCTCTACCACTTGAGCCCACAGCTCCACTTCTGGATTTTTGGTGTTTTAATTAGAGATAAGAGTCTCATAGGCTTTCCTGCCCCACTGACTTTGAACAACAATCCTCACATCTCAGCCTCCTGAGTAGGTAGGATTACAGGCATGAGCCACCAGCATCTGGCTGATATTCCTAATTTTAAAAGCAAACATACTTGGTAAGATATGGTAGTCTACTGGTTTATTTCATAGAACCTATGGGTTCTATTTGTGTGTGTGTGTGCGTGTGTGCGTGTGTGTGTGTGTGTGTGTGTGTGTGTGTGTGTGTGTGTGTGTGTGTATGTGTGTGTATATGTGGTGTATGACAGTACTGGGGCCTGAACTTGGGGCCTTGCACTCTTGCTTAGCTTTTTTGCTCAAAGCTAGGGCTCTACCACTTGAGCCACACCCCTACTGCCAGCTTTTTATTGATTAACTAGGGATAAGAGTCTTGTACCCTTCTGCCCAGGCTGTCCTGGAACTGCCTCAGATCTCAGTCTCTTGAGTAGCTAGGATTACAGGAGTGAGCCACCAATGCTTGGCTCTGTGGGTGGTATTGCTAGATTGTCCCCTCCTAAGGCTGAGACTGTCATGTCAGCATCAGTGACAGAACACGTGGGTAGTACCAAAACACAGACCACGCCACAAAAGGCAGGTGAGGACCAGGCAGTCCAGGATCAGTCTGAACAGCACCAAGGCCACAGGGCCATGGACTCCTAAAGGAAGGTCAGAGGAGGTGAACGGCCAAGGAGCTGGGAGGTCAGGAAGTGACCCCAAAGACAAAAATCACCCCGATGATGATGTGGATTACCTGGATATAGAGACTGGCACTCTCTTTTCTGTCTAGGCTAGGTAAGATGAGCGGCAGAGAGAACATGATGGAGATGGCAGCATTGACCAGGTCCAGCTTCTGGGATAAGTTGAAAGGTGGTTTCACCTGGCTGGAGAGAGACAGAACCCCGGGGCCTGTGAGAGGTGGGGCTGTGTTTCTGCAGGAAACAGTGGGAGCCTTCCCTGCCCTGGATGTTCTGATAGACTCCCAGTAGTGAAATGAGCATAGCCCCCTTCCCAGCACGCAGGCAGATAAACCACAGGGAAGCCATGGAGTCTGGCCGCATGCAGCTCCAAAATCAAGTTCCCAAGCCTGGCCCTTTCTCCCAACCCAGTCTAAATGTTCTTGTCATTCACCTCCCTCCCCCTGCCGCCCCCCCACCCCCTTCCTAGGCCATGAGAAGATCACAGTAGGAAGGAACCTTAGGGCCACAATGCACAGCATGGCTTGCTGAAGAATGTTGCTGCCCAAACTCGAAGTGGATTCTTCCAGGATTAATGTCTAAAAGGGCCAGGAAGAAATGAGAAGTCCCTTCAGAGAGAAACGTCAGCCTTGAGTCCGAGATTGTCCCCCATTTTCCTGGAGGATCAGCTGCCAGAAGAACTCGTATCTTTCCCACCTCAATTTTCTTGGTGAGGATGGTCTGGGGATAGTAATCATTCATGCAGCCATTTGGTTGGGAGTGTACAGCACCACTTAAGGTCTCCACAGCCCTGAGAAAACTCAGCTTGTCCATCTGGGACTAGGACAGAACACAAAGACTTCTGCTGATGAGATGATCCCAGGCCCTAAGCTAGTCCCCGAGCAGTGTCTCAGGCCAGCACCCTGAACTCTGTCCGTTACACACATCCCAGATTCAGCCAATTGGGCCAAAGAATATGTGTTTCAGTTCCTTTATGTCTCTTAGTACCCTGGACAGTGCTCTCCAGTATCCTGAAGCCCTCTGAGCCCTCTGGGGATCTATCAGGAAGGAAAACCCCCCTCCCACCACCCACATGGGAATGGAGCGTAAGACCTGAGGCGCAGCCACCCAGTCTTGATGCCCTGGTTGCCTGTGTTCCCCCCAGACTGGACACCAATAACACTGAATAGCAGGTGGCTTCCAAGCCCAGAGATGATCCTTGAAACGCAAAGAAACATTTTTCCTCCTCAGCTCTCAGAAACCCAAAGAACTCTCTTACCATGTCTTTTTGGTCTATAAATTGCAGAATTAACTCATAGGCTTCTATTTCTGACTGGCGCAGACCTGCAAAGGGATGTCATCCAGGAGAGTTTAGCTGATTTGATCAGATGGCCTAGGAAGGCAGAATCTGTTTACTTTGTCCTCCCCCCTTTACTCCCCCCCCCCCAGGCCCCTGCCATCGTGAAGGCTCAGAAACCACCAGGGAGCAGGGTGGATGTTTGGGTGTCCAGAACCAACTCCTTCTGGTGTGGGTATGCACAGTGCCATTTGGATGACCTTCAGAAACCAAAGTGTGCTGGGTAGCAGAGGCTCACGCCTGTAACCCTAGCAACTCAGGAGGCTGAGATCTGAAGATGGCAGTTCAAAGCCAATCCCCAGCAGGTAAGTTCTGTGAGATACATCTGTAGTTAACCACCCAAAATCTAGAAATAGAACTAGACTCAAGCAGCAGGGAGCCAGCTTTGAGCCAAAAAGCTAAGGGACAGTGACTAGGCCCTGAGATCAAGCTCTAGGAAGCGGCACACATGCACACACACCCTGAAATTTAGGAACAGTAGATCTGAACTACAGGTGCCAATTAGAGAGGTTTGTTGGCTTTTACGTGGCATCTGAAGATGTGCTCTGAATTTCCTGAGATGCTTGTGGTCAGTGAAGTAAACTTTCCCGGTCTCAGGCTCTGTCCTGTCATGGCCCAGCTCCAGCCCACTCAGGTATGGGACTGGCCTGCAGAGACCACTGCGGGGAAGGGGCAGTCACAAGGGAACGGACTTGAGCTCACAAAATAACATCTCAAGCGAGAACCTACACACAAGCACCACTTCTGAGCTGCTGTAATTAGATGAGAGCCCAGCCTGGGGCCAACTGCTCACCCAGAAGGCTTGATTGCAAAAGATCCTGGGGACTTGGTGACTTAAACTTTATTTGCTTGTTCAGAGGTAGATTCATTTGTACATCTGAAACAGCAGCCTGCATCTTGGAGAAGAGCAGCCAGACCTGGTGGGAGTTGGGCCTTCTGAGAGCTGTAGCTTCTGCAATCAAGGGGGAAAATATTGGATGCTAGGTGCCTATGGCTCAGGCCTGTAGCTAACCCTAGCTACTCAGGAGGCTGAGATCTGAAGATCAAGACTTGAAGCCAGTTTGATCAGGAAAGCCCATGAGACTCCAATTAATCAGTCGTCAGAAGCAGAGGTGTGACTCAAGAACTAGGACATCAGCCTCGAGTGAAAGAGACAAGCAAGGGCTTGAGGCCCTCAGTTCAAGCCTCAGTACTAACAGCTGTGTGTGCGTGTACACGCACACACACCACGTGAGTGCAGGGTACACCTGGCCACTTACATAAAAAGAACGGAGCTGGGGTTTGTAGGTCAGTGGTAGAACTATTGCTTAGTGTGTACTTGGGCCTTGGGTTCAAGCCTCAGCACAAAGGAATACATAAATTAATAACTAAGCTGTAAGAAAAGCCATCGGCTGAGCAGTGCCCAGGCTTTGAGCCTCTGTCATCTTGTCATTGGTGGAAAGATGCCGGACCCTCACAAGGAAGGAGGCCGGGTCTTCCTGACTCACCCAGCAGTCTCTTACTCGGGCAGATTTTCCCCTGCACGTGGGAAACCTGAGATTGGGGCTAGCCCCAGGCGCCCCTCTGAGGGCACAGTAGCTCCCCCCGCCCAGCACTGGGGCTCGCATTCAGGGCCTTGTGCTTCCGCTCGGCCTCACCCTCACGCTGGTGCTTTACCACCTGACCTTCGCCTTCTGCCCAGCCTTTTCCTTCCGGTTAGTCTGAGGACTTCTGGCTGCAGACCCCACCGCAGGGATTGCTGACAGGCCATCAGGACTCCCCTCAGCCCAGCTCGGGGCCATTGTCCCGGCTGGCCTGCCCACTAAACAAAACCCCACAAAGCACGCCCCTCACCCGCAAGGCCCAGCGACCCTGGGACGAGGTCGGCATCCGGCCCGGCCGGCGCCTCTCCCCAGGCCCCGAAGCCCGGGTCCGGCTCCTCACTCCCGCCCGGACCCTCTGTCCTGGCCGTGGACCCCCCGCCCCGTACCTGACGGCCACACGGCGCCCCTCAGGTGCGGGCTCCCGGCTCCCCGGGGTTCTGGAGCCTCCAGGGGGCGCTGCGGCTCCCCGGGGCGCCGCACGCGAGCGCCCCCTGCAGGGCGAGCGCGCCACCCTGAGGGGCTGGGCACCGCGCATGCGCACTCACACGCTCTAGCCTCAGCTGGGCCAATCACAAAGAACAGACTTTATTGAAGTTTTTGGCACAAAGACCTCACCTAGTTCCAGTCCTGCAGCCGAGGGCCGGCCACTCTGCCATGGCAATAAGTTAATGTGGAGGATGTTCAGGTGTGTTGGGGGTGGGGGGAGGGAAGGAGCCAAGGCTCAGCAAATGAATGTCCTATCAAAGTAGGGGCGGGTGGACCCCAAAAGGGGGCCTACTGCAGTTTGTGACAGGCACACAGCGAAAGAGCATGTGTCCCTCGTTGTTCTGTACCCAGTGCCACGGGCCAACATGGAGAAGGGCACCATGTTCTTGCAGCCTTCTGTGAGGTTCTCAGTCTCAGGATCCTGCAGGGGAAGAGTTCTACGCAGGCAAAACTGGAATGCAGCTCTCTCAAACTGGGCATCTGACCTGGCAGCAGAGAGGCCTTCGGTGGAGATGCTGGTCTCAGTGCATGCAGCTAGCTTGCAGGCTTGCCCGGCCTCAACAGCTGGGCAATCCCTGAATGCCCTTTATGACAAGCTAGCACGGCAGGACTCAGGAAAGAGCATTCCCAGCATGTACAAATAAGGATTCTTCTCACAGCAGAGACAAGCATGGCTGGGCAGGGAACAGAAGGGTGGTAACCACCTCCTCCCACCCCAGACACGCCACAAAAGCGGTGCCTTCCCCCCAAATATTTGCCACGTGATGGTTTCTAGAACGATGAGAAATGATCTCAGAGAGAGGGCTGGGTCAGCCAGCCTCCAGCCTGGGGGCTTTCAAGTGACAATTTTCTGCAGACCCAAACGGGCTTGCAGCTTGGAAACCCAAGGGCGTGGAGTGAGAATAGTGACTGGAGCCTCTAACGGGATTTATGGGCCCCCAAAATAGCAGGGTTCAGGAAGACAAGACTCTACCAGGGTACTCTGACCTTTAACCTACCACTTGGTGTGCATCACAGAGCACATATAAGCAGGGCAGCAGGGAGGAAAGTCTCCTGCGGTCTATGGTATCAAGAGACCTGGGAAATGGAGGAGAGTGTGTGCCTCACTCAGCCTCAACAACGAGGGAAGAGAAGGGCCAGGAGCTTTCTCAGACTGGGCAGAGTGTCCAACAACCTTTCTCTGCTACCTGTCTTGGATAAGGACACTTGTCTTGTATAAGGACACTTATAAGGTTGTCAGTAAAACCAGCAAAGCCCTAAGTCCAAAGAGGCTAGACTCTGGGGGATCGAGTAGAATCCCATCATAAGAACTTGAGGACAAATCACAAATATAAATCCTCATATGGAAAGAAGGAAGAGGGAGGGAACACATAGATAGTGGAAGATGAAAACAACATCTCCAGCTCCAGGTCATCGGCCTGCGATGGGGTGAGGGAGCCGAAGGAGGCACTTATGGGTGAGGGGGGGTCTCAGCCCCAGCTCCAGCCTCGCTCTCAAAGTCTTTCCCAGCAGCAGCTGAGGCGTCCAACAGTTACACTTGGCTGATGATTTCTCCATTTTCAGGGACAAAGACTTGCACAGGAGCCCCCTCGGGCGATCTCCGGAGCACACACACGGTGGGTACCTGCCAGGGGGGAGAAGAAGGGAGACTGTGGGTGAGCAAACCAGGGTACTTGTCATCCTTGTCCCTTGAAGACACAGGCAGGCGGCGGCAGGGGTAGCAGCGGTGGTGACAGGGCCCTGACACTCAGCTCCGGCCCTCCCTCCCATGCTTATGTTTCTAGGGATCATCCCTTATGCCCTGTCTCTCCAGGTTCTTTCAGTTGATGGACAGACGCTGACCTCCTCCTTCCCTACCTTCCTGCCGCTCACATCTCAGGATCTGCCCTGTCTAGCAGGTTAGGATGAGCTAGATCTGGGCCAAGGACAGGTCTAAGCTCGCAGGAAGGGAAAAGCACGTCAGCTAGAGGGTGAGGCCTGGGACGGAGCCAGGGAACTGCCCGGCTGGGCACGGCAGCTGCAGCCTAAAAGCTTGTGAGGGGGGGAAGGAGAGGGGAGTGGGATACAGCTGGGTTGCTGGGAGCCTGGGGCGTCAAAGGAGCAGCCTGTGGTGACTTCTGGAGTGCGTCCCCAGCAGAGCTCTCTGCACCAGGAAGGAAAAGAAAGGAAGTAATTCATGCATGCTATTGCCATGAATGAAGCAACGAGGGCCAGTGGCAGAGTGCTCTAAATCCTAGATACACTGCACCAAGCTGGTCTGCAGGGGCCTGGATGGGGATACTGGCAGTAATCTGACCTTGGGTTTGTACTGCTAATCATTTCAGTCTCTTATCTGCCCACACACTACTCCCACCTCTCAGCAGGGAAACAGAAGCCCAAAGGAGTTGAGTATACTGCCTAACTCTGCATCTGGTAACTAACAGGGCTAGAATTTGAACCTGGTAGTCTAGCTTGAAAGCTCATAGTCTTTGATAGGAGTCCTTGCCTCTCAGCTTAGTGTGGTGGAGGAATGTCAAGAAGAAGGGATGGGTGGCTCACGTCTATAATCCTAGCTACTCAGGAGGCTGAGATCTGAGGATCACAATTCAAAGTCTGCCTGGGCAGGAAAGTCTGTGATACTCCTATGGCCAATTAACTATCAAAATACTGGAAGTAGAGCTGTGGCTCCAAGTGGTAGAAGGCTAGCCTTGAGCACAAAAGCTCAGGGACGGTGCCCGGGTCTTGAGTTCAAGCTCTAGCAAAGACAAAAAAACAAAAACAAAAATAGAGGACAGGGTGCTGGTGGCTCACGCTTGTAATCCTAGCTACTCAGGGGGCTGAGATCTGAGGATTGTGCTTCAAAGCCAGCCTAGGCAGGAAAATCCGTTGAGACTCTGATCTCCAATAAACCACTAGAAAACCAGAGAGCCCAGACCACACAACCGACCAAAAAAAAGGAAGAAGAAACAGGAGGAACAGAAGGAAGAGGAGGAGGAGGAGGAGAAGAAAGAGAAGGAAGAATCAACAGGCTGACACATGTTCTGATCTCTGCAAATCCCATTTCTAAACGTTTCCTCTGCCTGGGCCCTCAAGTCAGGTTAATTTCAGGGGTTCATTTCCATCGGATTTGAGGTTTCTGTGCTTGGTGGATCATCTATGGGGTACTGGAAGGTGTGGAGTGGGGGGACCCGCAGCTCTCCGCGAGGATCACCTCGGCCAGGGCACCCCGGTACCTGTCACGAGCAGGCAAGCAACATCAGGAGGCGCCCGGGGGAAGCCAGGCGGCTTCCACAGAGCCCAAGAGGAAACGTTTTCCTGGCCTGTGTCCCGGGCTGGCACGGCCCGAGCACCGGGCGTGCAGGAGCGGCATCAGTCCACCCTTGCACCCGCAGGGACGCAGCCCCGTGCCCGGCCCCCCTCCCCCGTGCCCGGCCCGGGGCGGGTACCTGTGCGCGGGGCGGCGCCGGGGCCCGGCCGGGCGGCAGGCTGCGGACGCGGAAGGCCCCGTGGCGGTCGAGCGAGTGCGGGCGTCGGCTGCGGAGCCGAGCGCGCTCGTGCCACCACTGCAGCTCCTCGGACACCGCGGCCCGGCTGAGCGCGCGGCCCGCCGCGCCGTCCTTCAGCGACGGCGTGCGCCCCAGGCGACCCCGGGCGGCGGCGGGGCGCGGGAAGCGCAGGGCCGCGGCCGCCTCGCCCGGGCCGCGCCGCTCCCACTCGCCGGGCTCCCACTCGCCGAGTCCCCCCGGGCTCTCGGCCACGACCACGAACCGCCCGGCCGCAGCCCCCGCCGCCGGGAAGAAGCCGGGGGGCAGCAGCAGCCTGGGGGCGTGGGGCGCCGGGCCCCAGGCCCCGCGGGGCCGCGCGGGCTCCGGGGCGCACAGCGGGCGCAGGAAGGAGATGTCGGGGCTGCTGCTGCCGGGGGACGTGGGGTGGGAGACGCTGGAGGCCTCGGAGCCGCTGTCCTCGGAGCAGGAGTGGCGGGCGCCCGGCGCGGGCGGGCTCTGCGGGCGGCGCGGCTCGGGCGCCGTCACCGTGTAGTGCGTGGGGCGCCGGCGGGGGAAGGCGCTGCGCCCCCGGGCCTCGCGGAACGAGTCCAGCCTAGGAGAGAGAGAGAAGGCGGGTGCTCAGCTGGCTGCATTGGAGGGGGTGAGTTAAAGTCCTGGGAGGAGCGCAGGGCCCAGATCTGAGGATCACGGTTCGAAGCCAGACCAGGCAGACTCCTATCTCCAATTAACCGCCAAAAAGCTGGAAGTGGAGCCGTGGCACAAGTGGTAGAGCGCCAGCCTTGAGCAAAAAAGCTGAATGACAGCGCCTAGGCCCTGAGTTCAGGACTGGCGTGCACGCACAGGCACGCACACACACACACGTCTTGGAATGGATGCCCACCGTAAGGTCAGAGCACAGAAAGTGTTAGATCAAATCTCCCTGAAGCAAATACACAAAAGCCAAACACTCTTCCATACACTTTAAGTCATCTCTAGAGTGTTCATAGATAAAGGTTTAATACGATGTAAGTGCTATGGAGACTGTTCCTATGCTGGGCTTTGTTCCCATACTTGGTCTTGAACTTGGGGTCTCGTACAAGGTCTCCGTTGATTTTTTTTTTTTTTTTGGCTTTTTCTGCTCAAAGGTTGAAATTCCACCTCCAATCCCAGCGTTTTGCTGATTAACTGGAGATCAGAGTCTCTCAGATTTGTCCACCTAGTCTAGGTCAGAACCACAATCCTCAGATCTCGGCTTCCTGAGTAGCTAGGATTATAAGCCACAGACACACGGCTTTCTTATGCTGCATTATTTAGGAAATAATGGCAAGAACAGTGTTACTAGCTGGAGCTGTTTAGTATGTTTAGGGCTCTGTGTTGTATCCCTAGCACTGGGGGAAAAATACTGCACCTGTCCAGTGTGTGCATACGTGTGCGCATGTGCGCATGCGCATAGACACACACACACACACACACACACACACACACACACACACACACACATACACACACACACACACACACACACACACACTCAACACACAGCCACATAGATGATACTGGGATTTGAACTCAGGGCCTCACTTTCTTGCTTAGCTTTTTCACGCTATCACTTGAGCCATGCTGTACTTCCAGTTTTTCGTGGTTAAGTGGAGATAAGAATCTCAGCTTTGTCTACCCAGGATGGCTTCCATTTGTGATCCTTAGATCTCAGGCTTCTGAGTAGCAAGGATTACAGGCATAAACTGCTGGTACCTGGCCAGGAAATTGTCTTTCAACAAACATTCACATAAACTAGGGCTCTATAGGCTAAATCCATTGATGGACAATGGTGTGATGGAACTCCTGAATCCCTGTATACCTTCCCTACAAGCAATAGCTGGGCATCTGTGAACTCTATGTCTGTGGCTATCTGCTAGAAAATTCTGCAGCCTCTTTGGGGGAGGCCTCAGAAATGATCCTAAGCAGAAGCCAAGATGCTAGCCATATGTCAGCCAGGGTGTATATAGCAGCATCCCCAAACCTTGGATGGTGCGTGTCCCCACATCTCTGGGGGAGCTCTTACCTCAGGGACTGTGCCTGGCCTCGCCTGCCTTGCATCTCGGGGGTGGCTGGGGCGCTGGTGCGGCCCTGTCGCTGGCCAGGAACGCTGCGGATGGGGACCATGTGGTAGGAGATGGGCTCTAGCAGCCACAGGCTGGAGGTGAGGGCCCCGTCCTGTGGCGTGGTGGCTGGGCTACTGGGAAAGGACAATTGGGAGAGCAGTCAGCGACGAGAACATCTCCAGCAAGGAGCTCAAGAACTCCACAAGCACAGGGACCCAGCAGCCCAAGGTCAGGGGTGTGAACTGCCACCACTCACACCCCTGCCATCACACAGCTCAGGAGAGAGTGCGCTCCTGCCCCTTTCCTCTTCTGTCTGTCCAGCCCGAGCGTGCGCGCGCATCCCTGCCAGGTCTGCCTTCCCTTTACCCTGACCTAGACTCGCTGCTGGGCTCCAAAGATTTCCTGGACTTCTCATATGGATGGTCGAGGCTGGTCTCCTTCCAAGGGCTGTTCTGGATGGGGGCCCGCTCTAGGCCCCCCGGCTGAGGCCCTGCTGGCTGCAGCCCCTCGAGACTCTGGGGTGGGAGAGGCCGGGAAGGTAGGACCGGGGACTCTGGGGGAGGTTTTGGCATGTGTGAGTCCTCTGCAGGAATAAAAGAAACCGGGTAAGGGCAGAGGCCGGGAAAACCAGCCCAGCAAGAACCTTCTGGCTCTCCCTCTCATGTCTGGCTTGTCCATCTGCTCTGGGCATGGCTCTGACCCCAGATACTCACACTTTGTTTTCTTCTCCTCTGGGCCTCCCTCTTTCCCACAGCCCTATCTGCACCTCAAGTAGCCTCCTGGCTCTCGCTAATCCCATTTGTCAACAGTGGGTCCTGGTGCTGGAGGCATTGGAGGCAGCCACAGGCTGAAGGCTGGCCTTGTGTTAACCCATTTTTCTTGTTCCTGCCTTGCCCAAGTGCCCTATTTCCTTATTGGCCTGGGCACTCCCTTGGCCTGACTGCACCACCCTCTCCTTCCACCTTGCCTCTGACATCCTGGGCAGGGGTAGGCAGGGTTCTTAGTCCTTTGACAAGGGTTTTGTCCCCCGGGTTCCAAGGATGGCGGATGGCGGGGTGATCAATTCTTGGCCCTGACTAGTTCCTCCTGGGAACGCAGCCCCAGGGTGAAGGAGTGGCCTTGGGGATTAACAGATTAGGAATTCCCCTTTCCTTTCTTCCAGTCAAATTTCTAGGGAGGTGGTAACTCCCTCCCTCCCCCAACTGAGCATATGCGGGGTACCTGAATGTCATCACGGCTGAGGGAGACCCTGGCTGACACCCTGCCCTCACCAGCTCACTAAACCTTCCACTCCCCATTGAGGTCCCCACAGTACATTCTGGCAAAGCCCTACAGTCTTGGGAGTAGGACCCCCCAGCCTTGGCCGTGTCTTCAAATCGTGCCCTCACCTTCTTCCAGGAGGAGCCCATCAGACAGGGAGCTATCATCCGAGGCGCTGAGCTCTGGGAAAAGCAAAGGGGAGAGAAGAGAAGGAAGTGAGGAAATCAACCTGTGTGTACAGGATCCTGGCCCAAACCCTCTCCCAGGGCTGCCTCCGCTGCCAGGAAATCCCTACTGGGTGCTGAACGATGTGTGGTGAATTATGGAAGAAAAAGATGCAGAAGTGAGGGGTTAGGAGACAGGAAATCTGATTTTAATCCTGGCTCTCTCATTGGCCACACAACCTTGAATTAGCCATTTCAAAGCTCCGACCTGCTTCCGCATCTATCAACAAAAGCCATTCTGGAAGGCCCTTAGTGTGAAAAGAATTTTGGCAATCTTCCCTCTACCACCACCACCTCCTTCCCCTCTTCTTCCTCCCCCCTCCTCCCTTGTGATTGAACTTAGAGCTTCACACTGGCTAGGCAGATGCTCCATCCCTTGAGCCCCACCTCCCAGCCCTTTTTGCTTTGGTTATTTTTGAGATGCTCTCTGCCTCTCAGAAGCAGAGGGCAGGGGCACATACCACCACACTGCTGGAGATTCACACCTGAACTACAGGCCTTTATGGCACAGCCTCTCAAAGCATCTCCACCAGTGTTGGATAATGAAGATAAACAATGGCTAATATGTCTACTGTGCCAATATGTGTATTTCTTGTAATAATTCATAATGTAAGGAAGATCATATCCAGGGAACAGCTGGGAAAAACTCTCATGAAGTTTGGGTCAATTAGTCAACCCAGTCGCCTTAGGTGCCTGAGTCAGAATTTACACCTAGATGGTTCGGCTTGTCTATGTCCTGAGCCACCACCTCTTACTGGCTCTATTGTTACTAGCACCTGCTACGTAGGTCATGACCAGAAGTTTTAAGAACAGTATATGCTTCTAACCATCGGAGATCCTTTAGGATAGGAGTTGGTGAACTACAACTGTATCTAATTCACTGGCTGTGTTTACCAGTATGCTTTATTGGAATACAGCTACAGATTCCTTTACCTGATGTCTGGCCGTAGTCATCACTGAAACGGCAGTTGGATGGGTGGTTGGGAGAGATGAGGGAGAATTGTGAAAGGAGCAATACTGATCAAGATGCAGTGTACTCATAAACCAACATGTGTAGTAATGCATTTGTACAACTATGTAACGATAACAAGTATATAATTTTTTAAAAGAGAGACCACCAAGCCTAAAATGCTATCTAACCTTTTGTAGAAAAGAATTTTCCAATCTTCAATGCGTAACTAAAATGAAATACAAATTTTACTCAGAGCAGTTCTTAAACTCTGTCAGGTTCAGTGAAGGAGGTACCCTTTGCTCTCTGCCTGGAGAACAAAGGTTTTTATGGTCCCCAATGGCAAGTTGAACTACTTTACGGAATTGTTACCTTCCGCAGCAGGCTTAACAGTGCAACCCAGGTTTCAGTTACCCACTTAGCTCTAGCCTAGGTTTGCAGGGCTGGACCTCCTGGGAGACAGAAATGTCACACCCATTTCCTTCAGGTGACAGATCACCAACTGAAGAACTTTCCTCAAGGCTGGCTGACTAGACCCTAATGTTTTTTTTGGCCAGTCGTAGGGCCTGAACTCTGGGCCTGGGCGCTGTCTCTCAGCTCTTCAGCTCAAGGTGAGCACTCTACCACTTGAGCCACAGCACCACTTCCGGCTTTTTCTGCTTATGTGATGCAGAGGAATTGAACCCAGGGCGTGATGCATGCAAGGCAAGCACTCTACCACCGAGCCACCTTCCCAGCCCCGCATGTTTTGAATACACACAAGATCCAGGATCTTCTGTCTGGCAAGAAAGCAACCGTCCCCCATCGGCTCTAACCTGCACATAAACAAGATGATTTTTGTAGGTCCCAAGCGCTATATTGCAAACAAGGGAGAATGGAGACACATTGCTTCTACAGAGGCGGGAGCTGCCAGGCCCAAGTGGCTCATGCACACTGTCGCTGCCCTGTCCCAGCCTGGCTTACCACAATTGTCCTACCCCTGTCCTTAGGGTGCCCCCTCGGGACTGCAGCACAGGACTGCCCCCGGGGAAAGAGAACTGCAAAAAGACTGGACTCGGGAACTCAGCATTTCCAAAACGACCCTGCCCAACAAACCAATCTGCATGGCGCCGTGTTCATGAAAACTTAAGCACAATGAAAAGTTCATTACAACCGTGCCTACAGGGGCTGAGGAACGGAAATTGTCGTGTGTATGTGTGTGTGTGTGTTGGTACTAGGGCTTGAACTCAGGACCTGGGTGCTGTCCTTTAGCTTTTTCACTCATTCTACCACTTGAGCCACAACTTCATTTCTGACTTTTTGGTGGTAACTGGAGACGAGAAATCTCATGGACTTCACTGCTTGGGCTGGCTTTGAGCCTTGATCCTCAGATCTCAGCCTCCTAAGTAACTAGGATTATAGGTGTGCATACACCAGCTCCGGGCATGGAACTGAACTTGTACTTAAGAGTCTACCGTATTGAAGAGCAAAGATGGGCAGCACTTCCACCGTCTCAGAAATTCACTGGGAGAGTTATTCAACTAGCCAGCAAACACACAGTGGGCACCTTTTACATTAAAAAAGAGGTGTGTGCTGAGTGGAGGTGGCTCTCATGAAGCTCCCTATAATAAATTAGTTCAACACCTGATGGCTCTTTGCCACCTGCATAATTACTCTCACCTGGCCTAATTACTTTACCAACCTGAATAACCCTTGTGTGGAGAACAAGAAGGTGGAGGTGGAGTTTTGTTTTGAAATGCTTTTTTTTTTTGCTTTGTTTGCTTATTTTTTTTTTCCTTTTTAAATTCAAAACACCTTTCCTCCTCTAGCTAATTATTAAGCCTTCTCCACTTCTTCCTTCTAGGTGCGTCTAGCTGGGCAGAGGAGCCACAAAACAGGAATTACTTGTCTGGAACTTCTAGCTCTGAGCTCCCAAGCCAGGGCATTTGAACCCAGGACCCAGAAGAGAACAGGGCCAGAAGCTAGCAATCAGGGAGCCAGGTAAGCTAGCAGCCGGTGTGAGCCTCAGCCCTGCCCGTAGCCGTCTGTCTTCTCCTGGGCTGAGCCCCTCCGAGAACCGCAGCCTCCCGCCTTCCTTCACTGGGTTAAACCAGAGTCCTAGGCGTGTCCTGGCCTGCAGCCCCATTCCCAACAAAGAATGTCATTGATCACAATGGTGGCAGCAGAGTGACATCCCCTCACCAGCCTGTCGAGGCAGAAGCTCTCAGCAACCACAGCACCCAAGGGCAAGAAGAGCTGCTGACAGTGTGGCTGGGGGGCTGGCGGGGGGGGGGGGGGAGGGGGGAGACAGGAGGGGCTGTGACCACCTGGGATGGCTTCCTCCAAGCACGGGGCAAGCTGGCCGCTGGGTCAGCGGCGGTCTTCCAAGGGAAGGGCCCTTGCTGAGGGTCTGTGGGGAATGGAGGAGGGGTGGAGACACCTTTTCCCTTCAGGCTAGAGCCAATGGCCACCTGGCCCTGGGGCAGCCCAGTGGCTTTTCTGCCATCCACTCCTGACTGCTGCTTGGTTGGCCTAGCTGGGTCTGGTCACACACTCCTTACCCAAATACAGAGCGCACAGATGAGAGCAGGCGCTGGGGAAACTGCCTGCCTAAGGGACATGGACAAGAGGAGCTTCCAGCAGCGAGGCAGGAAGCCGAGCTCACAGGCCACAGGGCAGCCCTGTTCTCCAAGCTGAGCCGAAGCCTCTAGTCCACTTTGCCCTGGGCCTCTGTCTGTCAGGCCCCATACAGCCAGGGACCCAGGAGAGACTTAGAGCAAGGCTGAGCCCCACGGCTCAGGGTGGTGGGCACTGGAATGGAGGAATGAAGGCCGCAAGTCTTAACCTGACAAGCTGGATTTGGGTGGAGGCAAAGAAAGACACTGGGTACTGGTGGCTCATGCCTGTAATCTTAGCTACTCAGAAGGCTGAGATCTGAGGATCACGGTTCAAAGTCAGCCTTGGCAGAAAAGTTTTTGAGACTCTTATCTCCAATCAACCAAGAAAAAGTCAGAAGTGGAGATGGGGTCCAAGTGGTTCAGCACTAGCCTTGAGCTAAAAAGCTAAGGGAGAACATCAAACCCTGAGTCCAAACACAAACAAACCCAATCTAGTTCAGGCCTCAAAATTGCTAGTAGATGCAACCCAGCCTAGACACACTGAAGTCAGGTGGTGACTTCTGACACTGCCAATGCACTCATTGCCACAAAGCCACAGGTCTCCTGATCAGGGCCACAGGTACTATAAAGTAGAGCACAGAGGAAGGAAGATCACCCGACCTGGGCAAGTGCAGGTGCAGAAGGGATTATGATAGTAGCGCCAATCAATGAGGCTAGACTCCATTTAGCAAGCTCCACAGGGAGTCAGTGATCAGCTGCACACAGCGAGGATGGGTGCCTGTGCCCGCCAGGGGAAGGCGTGCTACCTCATGGAGTCCTACCCTGACCAGAGAGGCCCGTGGGCCTGAGGCACCTCAGCCCAATCAACCCCAGGATTAAGCTTAGAGTCAGCCTAGGACATGCCTTCTGCCAGGGAAGTGTGTGTGTGTGTGTGTGTGTGTGTGTGTGTGTGTGTGTTAAGGCTTGAACTCAGGGCCAGAGCTCTATCCCTTAGCTTTTTTATTCAAGGTTGGCACTCTACCACTTGAGCTACACCTCCAGTTCTGGCTTTTTTGTTGTTGTTGGTCGTGGGGCTTGAACTCTGGGCCTGGGCGCTGTCCCTCAGCTCTTCAGCTCAAGGCTAGCGCTCTAACACTTGAGCCACAGTGCCCCTCCGGTTTTCTGAGTGGTTTATTGGAGATAAGAGTCTCACAAACTTTCCTGCCCGGGCTGGCTTTGAACCACGCTCCTCAGCTATCAGCCTCCTCAGTAGCTAGGATGACAGGCGTGAGCCACCAGTGCCCTGACTTTTTGAAGGCGAGTGAAGGAGGAGGAAGAGGGATGTCTAAGGTGAGGAGAAGATGGTCTCCCACGAAAGAAGAGTCATGCCAGACCCGCAGAGGGCAGGCAGGGGGTCCAGGGGGCCCCAAGAAGCCAGCTGTGGCCAGCTGGAGCGGATAGGAAGCCTCAGACAGAGTGGCAGGCGCGCAGGTGGTGCTAACTGGGTGCCAACGCGCGGATGCCACCCGCACACCAGCCGCGGCCGGTCCACGCACGCCCGCACGCCCGCTCACCTCGGCCCAGCGTGACAGGCGGGGGCTCACTGCTGCGCCTGCGCTCTCCCAGGCAGCGCTGCAGCTCCCGCAGCTTCTTCTCCTCCTGCAGCGCCGCGTGCTTGCGCTGCCGCCGCGCCTGCCGGCTGAGGTTGTCCTCGGAGCTCAGCCTCCGCGCCGCCTCGGTGATCTGCAGCTGCAGGGCCAGCTGGCGCTCCAGGCCGCTCTGGGGGTCCTAGGGGAACGGGATGGGCATGTGATGGGAGGCCGGGGCACAGCAGCAGCAGCTCGGACACCCCCCCCCCCGCACCTGCAGGGGGCAGAGGGCGGGGCACTGGGAGGGGTCCAGAGCCCATTGGTCCCCATGAGAAGCTATCAGGCATCCTGAGCCCTCCCTGAGCTGCCTGCTGAGCAGGGCTGGGATGGGGCCATGAGGGACACTGTCCTCAGAAGGTCAGGCAGGCCGGGCTATGCTCACCGGGGGCCAGCCAAGCCGGGCTGAGATGCAGGCAGCCCTGGGGTCCGAGTGACCTACCTGGACAGACAGGCAACTGCCTACCAGCTGGACTACCCAAGGGGGTGCCCTGGACCACCACAGGGCTGACCCCCGCCCCATGGCCCCTGGGGACCGAGGGACTGCCCCACCCCATGGCCCCTGGGGACTGAGGGACCGCCCCATCGAAGCTCCTCACCTCTCTGCGCAAGGCCCACTCATCCAGCCTGTAAGCGGCTCCGATCCTGCGGCGCACCTTGGGGGCCTTTTCTCCCGGCTTGAGGGGGTACTCTGCCGGCAAGGTGCCTGTCAGCTCCTGCGGAGGAGGGGGGCAGGGAGGGGGGCCAACACAAGCCCCTGGTCACTTACCTAGCTAGCCCTTGGCCAACCCTGAGAGGTTCATCTAGTGACCCCCAAATCGCATTGCTGGGGACGGCTGAGCCACCAGTGCCCCTGCCACATCCTTCATACCTCGCCCCGCCCGCCATCCAAAACTTGGGGCACCCTGTGCACACGCCCTCCCGTCTGCAGCCCCTCGGGCCCGTTCTTCTCCATGCCCCCCACTCACTCCCCTCCCCCCGGGGCCCAGGCTGGACACTGCATCAGAGGGGCTCTGAGCCTAGAACTCAGTCTGATTTTCCAGAACCATTCAAGACTAGGGCTACCCGGCACCCACACGGAGCTCTGACACCCCAGATCCAGCTCCCCGGAGAGTAGCCCCATTGGGGGCAGGGCCCAGCCCAGTCCTCACCGCCTCTCGCAGACAGAGCCTCCGCAGCTCCTCCAGGCAGGCCTCCAGCCGCGCCTCCAGGGCCCTCTGCTGCTTGCGCACCGCGTGGGTCAGCTCCTTGGTCTGGGAGACGGGGCTGTCCGGGCCTGTGCGAGGGGAAAGGGCCCCTCTCAGGGATACTGAGGTAGGCGGTTCTCTTACATGCTTTGTTGACCACTCTTTGCTAAGTCTTTAATGCCTGCCCACAAATTACAAGCTAGCTGCCACGGCCTGTGTCATAACCACAAAGCACCGTCTCCCGGCTGTGCAGGGCGCTGCATCACAGCTCAAAGGCAGGGTTCTCCCGCCAGGGGACCTGCGGCCGGCGACAGCCTCCATGGTCACAACTGCTGGGTCTCTTCCCTCCCCTCCCTTACCCCCTTTTCTTCCTCTTCCTTACACTTACACACACACACACACCTCTCCTATCCTGTCAAAACTAGGCCAGGGGCTGGGAAGATGGCTCAGTGGTAGAGTGCTTGCCTAGCATGTGTGAGGCCCTGGGTTCAATTCCTTAGTACCACATACACAGAAAAAGCCGGAAGTGGCATTGTGGCTCAAGTGGTAGAGTGCCAGCCTTGAGCAAAAGAAGCTTAGGGACAGCGCCCAGGCCCTGAGTTCAAGCCCCAGGACTGGCAAAGAAAAAAAAATCTAGGCCAGACTAGACCCGGAGGCTGGTCTCCGGGGAGAGCACTTTGCTGCATCCCTGCTCTCCTCCCCCTTCCCCAGCGTGCTCTCTCCCCTCCCTTCCAGCCTGAGGAGTCTCAGCCTGGCAAGCCTGGGGCCTGGGACTCACGCAGGAGTCAGGACTGGGGCTAGGGGTTTTCCAGACCCACTCACCAGACTGCAGGATGATGCCACTGTCCGTGTCGCTGACCTCATCCTTAGTCTCCATGGTGGATTTCTGGGAGGAGGGGGCACAGAGGCGGGAGGGGCAGCACGGGTCCCAGCAGGGGCCAGGATGTGAAGAGAGCCTGCTGTTCCCCCAGCTTTAAGGAGAATAGAGAACAATAACCAAAGAGCTCCCAGCAAACCCCACAGATCCCACACGCGGCTGAGAGACAGAGGCTTGGGGATGGAGGTGTGCACACAGGCTGTGTGCAATGAGGGGTTGCCAAGGGGAGGGGCTAGCCTCGCTCTGGGCCTCCTGAGTGAGGCCTCTAGGAGAGAGGTGGGACTGTGGCGGCAAAGTCATTGAGAGGAAAGACCAAGGACCAAGGGAGGGACAAGGAAGGGGAGTGGGGACAAAGCGGGGAGGAGAGGAATGAGGGGGAGATGTCCTCACGGAGTGCGGGGAGCACAGCCACATCCCTAGTCCTGGGTACTCAGGAGGCTGAGGTCGGAGGATCAAGGGGAAAGTCCTATCTCTAATTAACCACTAAAAAGCAGTTAAGTGGAGGTTTGGTTCAAGCACCAGCCTTGAGTGAAAAAGCCAGGTAAGAACAAGAGGCCCTGAGTTCAAGCCTCAGTACCAGCACAAGGAAGAAGGAGAGGGAGAAGGAGAGGAAAGGAGAGAAGAGGAGGAGGAGGAGGAGGAGGGAGGGGGGAGGGAAGGGAAGAAAAGGGAAGGGGGAGAAGGAAGCAGAGGTTGTTGAAGTTGGTGGGCACGCCGGGGTCCAAGGCTGGTCTAGGATGCCCAAGGCTCGGGTCACTTGGCTCCCTGAAGCCATTCCACGCCAGAGACTTATCCCAAAGCCAGAGCCCTGGAATGCCTTTCTTGCTAGCTCAGAGAGAATCAGCCTGGATCCCTTAAACCCCACAGCCCAGGAGGATGGGGGGGGGGGCAGGGCAACCGTCAAGACTGTGGAGGTTGGAGGTGAAGACAGTGATGAAGCAGGAACTGCCAGGGTCGAGGGCCCGCCCCCTCCTCTGCCTCCCTTGGGTCTTCTGGGCAGCGCTCGGTGGTGTGGGCACCATCCCAGCTGTGCGCCTGCCCAGCCAAACAACACCTGTGCCCGCCTCTTCTCTCCTCACCAAACCCACACCCCTGGTTGGGGTCCCAGCTGGCCAGGGCTGGCAGCTGCAGCCTGGAGCCCCGGGAGGGAGGGAGGGAGGCAGGAGGGTGGAACCCAGGCGGCCACCTCCTCACTGAGTCAGCCCATTGAGCAAGAGTCCAAAAGTCCTTCTGAGTTTCTGTCTGGGACTTATCCTACTGCACCCCCCCCCTTCCCCAGCTCAGGGCCCAGGCTGGGGAGATGGGCTCCATCCCTGTGCAGAGCCTGGGAAAGCAAAGCCAGGAGGAGGCGACAAGATACGGGCCGGGTCTCCGATGCTGTCTTCACCTCCACCGCAGCGGAGAGATTTCACAGCGCCCAGGTGGCAGCTGATCATATGGAAACGGGGCAGCAACCACCACCACCACAGCCCTGGAACCTGCCTGGACTTTGCACTTCTGAATCTCAGATTCGCCAAGGAATTGTAGGAAATACACAGCACATTAATTTAAAAAAAAGTACCTGTCGAGTCTTTATAAGCATATCAGAAGACAAATTGGCCATTGAGTCTGGAAGCCCCAGGGAAGTTGGGGTGACTGTTGGTCCCAGTCTCATCCTTGTTAGGATAGGGGAGCAGGCAGCTCAACCTTCCTCCCACTGTCCCCAGAAACTAGGGGCTCAGCCTGTGGCAGGAAGCGAGACCAACACCCTACCCAGGCAGGGTCCCCGCAGGTACACGGAGCCTCTCTTCAGACAAAGGAAGGAGGTGGTGTGGGAGGGGAAGCCATTAATTAGTCCCACTTGCTAATTAATTATTAACCACTAAGGAGTTGCTTTTGAAAGGTGGTGGGGGGGGGGGACTCAGACCCGCTTGGGGACTCCTAGAGGATGGCAGCTAAGTAGGACCAAGAGGGAGGCGCTGCCATTCACGGGGCTCTCGGTCCACTCAGTCCACTCTGCACCTTGCTGCTCGCACCTGGAGCCTGCTATTCCAGGCTGGTCAAAGAGCAGAGACTCAAGGTTACTGCCCAGATCCCCTCGGGGAAGTCTCCCAACCTCCGGATCCTCCATTTTCCAGATGCACAGCGGAGATTAAACTGGGCCTGCAGCCCCTCCCAGCTCCTCGGTGTGATTCTGAGCCATGCCCTGCTGAGAGACCCTCCCCCACAGCCAAAGCAGACCCCCCCTCCCCCTCCCCCCTCCCAAAGATGGGCATCTGCCCCACCCCCCTCCGGAGGACGGGAGTGCTAGGTGCGGGAAGTTAAAGGAAGTTCAGGTGACACCCAGCATCCGGCCCAACTCCGGAGTCCCAGCCCTGAGCCCCAAGAAGCACCCCACCATAACCCCACAGTGTCCCCAGGAAAAGGCAGAGGAGGAAAGAGACCAAGTGGACACCCCGTTGCAAAGGGGCTCCCCCCCCAAAACCAGCTTCTCCCCAGTCCCAGCTCATCATCTCCACTAACCTTTTCTCTACCAGATTGAGACCTGACCACAGGGACAAGCTCCTGGTCCCAACCCAGCACCCCTGCCCCCCAGCCACTGCCCAAACTCCCCGCCGGAGGCCCCAGGACCAGCTCCACCCTGTCCGGCCCTCACCTGCGTCTGGGCTTCCCTCCAGCGCCCCGCTGCTCCGGGGTCAAGAAGGGGAAGGGCCGCTCATGTGGCCCCAGGGGCTCTCAAGCCTCCGGCCGGCCACCTTGTGTTCGGCGCTCTGAGCCCGCTCCAGCTCGGTGCGGGCTGCTGGCCACCCCTCTGGCCAGCCCTCCCGTCCCTCCCGCCCCGCCCGCCCGCCTGCAGTCCCTCCCAGGCTGCCAGGCCAGGGGAACCAGGTTACTTGTTATGACTTGAGTCAGAGGGGAGGGGCAGGTGAGCAAGTCCTTCCCTGAACGAATCCTGCAGCTTGGCTGTGACCGCCAGGCAGCTCTGGGGCCTCTGCGCTTCCCGGGCCTGAGAGGAGCCCGGGGAAGGGGCTCCCCAAGAAGGAATGCCAGGAGGCCAAGGGGTCAGGCCTCGAGGACCCCTGGTGCCATGTGCTGCTGGTAAGGGACCTCGAAGTCTTCCTGCCTTGCTGGGCTCTGTGTGCCTTCCTGTATGCTGCTCTCCCTCCCAGAAATCGAGGAAGAGGAGGTATCCCCAAATAGAAAGCTTACTGTTAGAGAAGGTCACTGGGGCCCACTCCACCCCAGAGAGAAACTGAGGCCACCTGAGTTTGGTGGGTCACAGATCAGGGTTTTTAAGAACCTCAGGTTGAGGCAGGGGGCAGTGGCACACCTCTGTAGTCCCACTGACTCACATGGGAGGCCAGGAGTTGAGGACCAGCCAGGGCAACAAAAGATGCTGTCTATAGAAACAGACAAGAAAGAAAGAAGGAAAGAAGGAAAAAGAAAGAGAGAGAGAGAAAGGAGGGAGGGAAGAGGAAGAAAGGAGGGAAGAAGAAAAAGAAGTTGCCATCCACTACCAGGAAATTGTCTCCCCCCCCCCCCCCCCCCCCCGCCCATACACACACACAAAGAAACCTCTAGGCCAACCTCCCATGACCCTAAAGCACTGGGAAACCTGTTTGGAACCCAGCCAGTTACACCGGAGGAAACAGAGCTAAGGGTGGCTGGACTACAGACGCCCAGGCTGGACGACAGACATGTGGAGATGGTGGTACCCTCAGTGTTCATCTCACCCCCCCATCTCCCACCACGCCATCTACTCCCTCCCCCTAAAACCCCCCTTCCCAGCGAGTCACCAGTGTCCCACACCTGGTGGTAGAGACCCTAAAGGATCATAATCCAAAGACAGTCCAGACAGAAAAGTCCATGAGATTCCACCTCCCATGAACCAGCAAACAGCTGGACTGGAGGTGTGGCTCAAGCGGCAGAGCGCCAGCTGAGAGCAAGAAAGCCAAGCAAGCATCTTCCCATGTCTCACGCAGGGATGGCAAGGGAGGTGTGCCCTCATCAAACATCTGAGGGTCACAGTCTGCCACCTCCCCCTTGCCAGCACCCCAATCCTCCGACATACACAAACACACACTCCTTCACCTTCCTCTACACACCCCTTTTCCAAACAATGTTAGCCCCAGACTCCTGACCATCTCCTCCTGCCCCCAGGCCAGGGAGAGGGGCCCTCACAGGGGACAGTCCATCCCCACGATGGGAGCATGCTCGGTGGGCCTCCAAGCCCTTCCCTTCCCCCTACCCTCCACCTCGCAGCAAGACCTTCCCATCCCCCGACAGGTTTGCTTTCTTCCAAGTCAAACAGAGAGGAGTTGACTCCAGCCTTTGCCCATCCCCCAGCTGCAACCTGGGAGGGCTGGGGAAGCTTCTAGAATCAACTCGTGGCTGGGCACTATCATCTTAATGCATTCAATAAAGAGAATCACTAAGAGAACTCATCATATTGGAATCAAATCCTAACGTCAGAACATCTATAGCAACATCTATAACAGTTTATTTGCGTGGCAGAGGCCCTGGCAGCACGCCACTTCCTGGGAGCAGACACACCATGTCCACAGAGCTGCAGCAATGGCTATGGGGTTGGGAACTGAACTCTGCTCACGGGAAAGCACAGGCTCGGTCCACGCCCCTGTTTTTGGGTCTTCCTAACCTAAGACGATGCTAAACTTCGGTTGAAGCCGTGATAAAAATAATGATGAAGTTGTAGATGCCCACCCCACACTACATTTATAACCCGCCACATTCTAGCCACAGATACCTAGGTTGCAGTGAACCCAGTTAAGAACTCTCCCCTTGGGCTCCCCCCCCCCCACACACACACCATCTGGGCTTAAAGCTTGTACACTCTGGGACATAAATTCCTGAAGCTGCCCTCTAGATCTTTCGCTAATGGTTCTGCTGTTTGGAACCAGCTTTTCAAGAATGGACGCTGGCAGACACCAGAGCTTGGTCAGTGATGTCACAAGCGCGGGATCCCCCAAGCACAGAACTGTCCCCCAAAGACGCACGCCGCCTGTAACCAGGCAGCCAAGCCCAGCCAAGCGGGGTCTCTTGCCTCCTCCCTATAATTCTCCCCTGCAACTGAGCAGAGGCAACCTGGCGCATTCATTCCGCTGGCTAGCTCCTGGCTTCCTTCAGGTTGAGCCTGGTAACAAAGCTCTTGCTTTCTTTTTCTTTTTCTGCAGAAGTCCAGTGCATTGGCTTCTATGAACATCAGCATCAGGATTTACACCTGTAATCCTAGCTACTCAGGAGGGTGAATCCTGAATGAAGATTGCAGTTCAAAGCCAGCCTGGGCAGTAAAAGTCCAAGAGACTCTTGATCTCCAATGAACTACTAAAAAGTCTGAAACAGAGCTGTGACTCATGTGGTACAACATTCGTCTTTAGTAAAATGCTCAGGGATAGCACCCAGGCCCTGAGTTAAAGTCCTAGGACCAGCGCATGCGTGCAAATACACACACACACACACACACACACACACACACACACATGAACTTAACAACCTGTTCACACTGATCCTTGGGAATTTTTCTGTAAGACTCTTTACAAACTCACCCAGCATTTCCCAGGGCATGTGGAACGGAGCTGCAGAATCAAGTCTCCCTCCATGAAAGGTGTGTGTGTGTATGGTGTGTGTGTTGGGGGGGGGGGGTGTCCCAGTTGGATCTGATTGTTCAGGCTCACAACTCCAAACACCCAGAAGGCGTGAGCTTGCACAACTCCAGAGTGCCAGTCTGGAATCTGGGACTCCGCCCGAGCCTAGGAACCTGGGAACTCCACAGCATTCCTGCCCCCCCCCAACCCAGACCCCCACCACCAAGACCCCCCCCCAGACCCCCAAATTACAGCAAATACCCTGGTCAGCGAGTTCATTTCCGAAGGCAGGCAGCGACCCGAAACAGAAAACTCTTCCACGGGCCAGTCAACTCCACGCTCCCCTCAAGGTCCTCCTTAAGGTTATCCTGACATGCCTAAAAGCCCAAGTGGTCCGGACCCAGCCTCGGCCCTGCCTGCCGGGCCTGCCCCCCAAGAGTACCCGCAAAGACACCCCCGGCGTTACTCTACGGAGGAGCCAATGCTCGGTGGCAGCTGAAGCTAGCCGTAGGATGGAGGGAGACAGCAGCCAGGGACCCTTAAAGGCCAGAGGGCTGGGGGGGGGGCGCCCCATAACCGTTCTTCCTGCCCTGTCCTCCCTGCCCCGGGGGAAGGTGCCCCGCCGGCCCCGGTGGGGTGCGCTGGGACGGGGGGGGGTCTCCAGCGAACCCTGCGATCAGACCCCAGGGCTTTGGGTAGAAAGCCCCCTTTGTCCCGTCCACCCGCTCCCCTCCCCCACGGCGCCCTCCACTCCCCGGCGGGTCGCAGACTTTTGCTCCTTTTGTTTGGCTGTTTCCAGGCCCCCCGGAACCTGGCCAGGCGCTCGGCAGGCGCGGGGACGCGTGCATGCGGGGCGCGGGGGGGGGGATCCCCGAGGAAGACCCTCTCCGCTGAGGACGAGGAGGGTTTCGGGGCGCGACCGGCCCCCGCCCCGCCGTCCCCGGCCTCCCGCGCGCGCGCGTGCGCTTCCCGGCTTCCCGCCTTACCTGTCCCGCGGAGCTCCGGCGCCCCCCGGCCGCCCCCGCGCCCCCCGCGCCCGTCCCGCGGCCCCGGGATCCGCGGGTGCCGGCCACCGTGCGGCCCCCGGGGGCGCCCCCCGGGCCCCGCTCCCCGGAGGCCGCTCCTGGAACTCGGGCATCCGCCGCATCCCACGCGGTTAAAGACCCCGGGACATCTGTCCCCCGGGGCGTACCAAGGCCCCGCGGGGAGAGGGGGGCGACGCCGGCGCGGCCCCGCGGCGGGGGCGGGGGGGGGCGGGCGCGGGGCGGGGCCCGGCGCGGGGTGGGGAGCCCGCGGGGTGCGGGTCCGGCGGGAGCCGCCGCTCTGGGCCCGGCCGGGTCCCTCCCCCACCCCGCCCCCCTCCGGCTTCGGGGTCCCCCCCCCCGCCCCGGGCCGGGGGTTCGCGCGTCCGCCCGGCCGGGAGGAGGCCGCCCGGCTCCGTCCTCCCGCGCGCTCCGCCGGCCGGCCGGGGCCCATTGCATTCCCCGAGACCCCGGGTGGGGGAAGGCGGGAGCCGGGGGGGGGGGGGGGGGCGCCGCGCCCGCCCAGGCCCAGCCCGGTCCTCCCGGGCTCACCGGGGCTGCCCGGCTCCTGCGGCTGGGGAGGCGCCGGGAGCGCTGTGGAGGGGGAAGTTGCGCTGCCAATAGGGATTCCTAGCCCGGCGCCGGTGGCGCACGCCTGTCATCCCAGCTGCTCAGAAGGCTGAGATCTGAGGATCACGGTTCAAAGCCAGCCCGGGGCAGCCAAGTCCGGGAGACTCTGATCCCCAATGAACCACCAGAAAACTGGAAGTGGCGCTGTGGCTCCAAGTGGGAGAGCGATTAGAGCTGAGGCACAACGCCCAGGCCCCGAGTTCCAGCCCACGACGGCCACCACCAAGCAGCAGCAGGAAACTCCCTGCAGCGTGTCCGGGTTGTGCAGCCTGGGAAGCGGCTCCACTCCGCCACACTCATCCTGCTGGCTCTGGCGCAGATCCGCATTTGCCCAGGGCAGGTGCCTTTTTCTAATGGGTATAAAGGCGCCCGTGGAACAGAGCTGACCCAGTCTGGAGGGCTCGCTAAGAACTTCACACGTTTATTTTGCAATGGCACAGCAGCTACGTGAACTAGTCAGAGCTTTCCTCAAGAACCCAAGGTTGGGGGTGGGGAGTGGAGATTCTGACCCATGGAGCTGTCAAAGCTGCAGAAGCAGCGAGATGTCCAGGACATTG